ATAATTCAGCTGAGAATCATAAAGGTGGTACATAGTCTATGAGCATCTCTTTGGTCTTCTGCACCTTCGACTCTTGCTCCATAAGTTGTTTCAATTCCTTGCGAGAAGCTACAGCTTCCTCTAAGCACTTCCAGGAGAAAGAAGATTTGGCGGTATTGTCAGGAAAAGTGTTCTGAGTAGCAATATACATGTGTAGATAATCATATCCTGCTATAGCAAAATCTCTGACACTCTTCTCCAGTATAGACAAAGTGACTTGCTCCTTTCCAGTGCCATTGGGAGATCTCTTGCGCTTTCCAGTAGGTGGGCCCTTTTCACTGACCTCAATTATCTTAAAGTACAGCATTCATTAGTCAAATGATATATTGCAAGGCGACTTGACACTCACACCATTATTATTGCCCTCTTTTCCATTCTCCATCATTCTCCCCTCTGCTTTCCTGATTATCCTCAGTATTTGAGACACCTGCTAATAAGTGATATAGTTTTGTTCTTGAATACTTGAGAATGACTCTATCATTTTAGGTGCTAGGATTGGATGTTTAAAAGTGATTTTCAGATTACCCGCCAAGCTCTATGGTTCCTGGACAGCACCATCTATCTGGCCTTCTGAGCTATTGACATATGCAGAATAGTTCACCAAACTGAAAACAGCTCTAGAGCCTCATCATGGCATGTATCTTGTTACTAATTCTGTACCATTGGCTGACGGTCATTCACCTGGAGCCATTATAAAGCTTTCTTCTATATGTCATAGTTGTCATTTGATACTAGACTTTTCTAACGGTGTTCTTGCTGAATGGACTACTGATACAGTATTAGATAAATGCAAACAATCTCCACGTCACTCGTACTCTTTCCCCTCCTCTCTGCCTTGATTTGCAGCATTTCTTAGTCACACTTGGCTCGTGTAGCTGTTGTGGGGGAGAAATGCAGCATAATTGCTGCTTTGCTTTAGTATTTGATTAAACACTAACAAAAGAACAACTTACTTGATCTTGGGGGGCCATTAGCGCCTGTTCAATTATTGATTGTGTGTTGGGAGTTTGATCTTCAATAATTCTAAATTCTAATCTATTTTTAATTAAATTTTAATCTATTTTAATGTATAGTTTAAAATAAATGTCTAAGCTGGTTTTAAGCCCCAAACTTGACTTAGCCGTGGTTCCTGAGCCGAGTCAAACCTTAAATTAAATAAGCCGAAGTCACATGTAAGCTCAGCTATCAAAAGATCTGGCCCTGGCTTGTGCAGCTGTCTATGAAGCACATTGGGCTGTCATACTAGCTTCCAGGCACTGCCCCTACCTAGCTTGCTCTTCTTTAAAGATTTTGACCACCATAGTGAGGGATGCGAGCTCTTTTTGGAAAGTTGCCTGTTCTGCATCCAAAGAGGCAGTAACTTTATTTAATGTGCATTCCAAGTGATCACACTCGGTGATTGACCTTGTAAGTATTGCTTCTTTTTTGTGCCTTTCTGCTTTCAAAAGCTCACTTGCTGCATTCAGCTGAACCTGTAGGTCCTTGCCTGGCCCATTATCCACAGTGGAGGCATGATGAATGGGCCCTGTTATAGTGCTGTGAGTTTGTTGGTAAGGTAAGGAGGGTAAATTAGATGATCATCAAGTTAGCCAAATCTGTTATGACAACGGTCGTAGTCGGACTGGGATGGGTAAGCGAAGGACAACGGTCCTAAGCTATCGTGTCGTGTATCGTTTGAACGTCAATATACCTGGTAGCCTAAGCCGTCAGGTTGTGACAGAATGGAAGGGGAGGTAAGCTTCTAAGGCAGTGGCCGACGAAGGGTTTCGTGTTCGACGGTTAAGTCTAGACGAGGGATCGGTATCGATTCAAAGACAAACGGTCTAAGAGAAGATGTATCGGACTCAAGGATAGCGATCCAAGAGTATAGAGGGTTCGTGATCAGACTCAAGAGAGTTTACTCAAGAGAATATACAAGTCAAGGTAAAACCCAGTAGAATCAAGTTAAGGAATAATAGTACAAGTGGATCGACTATATATAGGTAGGGATCACAGTGTTCAGGGCAGGTCTGGTAATCGTACAAGAGTCAGGAAAGATATATTGGGTAGGCAAGAGGAGGCAGGAGTCTATGAGGTCAGGGTCAGGGTTCAGTGGGAACATCAAGGGAAAAGGAAGTAAGGCCATGAGGCCATGGATCAAGGGTCCAAATGGAAGCGTCTAGCTTCTATCACAGAAGGTCAGGGTCGGCGGGGATCAGGAAGAGTGTCGAGCACCCTGTTATGACTCCGAGCTAGCTCGGTTCCCTTAATTGCCTTTGAAAAAAATCCGAACACTAATAGATACCGAACCATTCCGTACTTCACAAAAGACCTCGAAAACCACGAAAAACAAAACCTTTCTCGGCTCCCTTGGCTCCATCTTCTGTAGTATATAAGGCGCTACCTTTCACCACATCCCCCAACAATGTGCCCTCTCAACGCGCTCGCCATGAACCACTTACCACAACCATCACATTCTTCGGTAAGTCCCAGTGCATCATACCGACTAATTCCTATACCAGCCGCGAGTGCATAAATATGCCCTTGTTCGATTCTCGAGACTAAAAGAGGTGTGCGTGGCTGTAGCACGTTGGTGCTGCGTCCAACTGGTTGTCGAGCACGGCCGGGTAGGACATTTTTTGGTCTTGGGATGAACGCTGTACATTTACTTTAAAAATAAAACTGAAAACATATAGAGATTTCGTACCAGAACGATGGCGCTGTTTTCCAGTCACTTCGAAGTTGAAGAAGGGTAATAGGCTTTGAGTCCTGGCAGATGGCCGCAAATGCATTGATGAGTGTGAGCCGAGATAGTTAACAAAGTATGGCGCGATTTCAGCGTGGCCAAATGGTAGTCCGGTAATGGTAGTCCGAAAGGCAGTAAGCAACAGCTCAATATCAGGAACATCTCCTTGAACTAGGGATGGATGAGATTCACGCCCTCAACATCTGAGTCAAGTAAAAAATTACCTTCTGTTGGGAAGTCATGGTACGAGGATTCGAGCAGCGCCGTATGGTGTGTCTCGTTAAGGTTGACTGAAAATAATTAAGCAAGTAAGAAGAAACGGCTGAAATGAAAAACGTACTGGAAAATCTGCAGCGGTGGTCTCGAAAATGACAAACAACCTTTGTGTGACCAACCGCTGAAGTGACAAATCGTACTGGAGTGGGACGGTTGTGCGTGAGGCCACAAAAACACTCCCAAAAGCAGCGCCGCCGCATTAAGTATGCTGCAATTCCGCTGGGTACAATGCGGAGACCTCTGGAGATTGGACTATATAACTACGAGTGAGTATTTAAGCAGAGAAACAGAGACAAAATACATACTATGCAATCTCAACACATTGACGAGCGTCACGAGAGTAAATTACGAGCTCTGTACTGCTACGTTGAGCAGCGCAAGCCGTTGCAAACAGCGTGTTTCGAGCAGGCATGGTAACAGTAGTAGTTCGCGGGGAAAACCAAAGGAGTAGTAGCGAGGTAGTCACTGATGAGAGAGCTTGAAAATGGCTGGGTTTATATATCATTGTCAGTGCTTCAATAAGTTCTCGCAAAGTTCGTCAGTCACCTCCTGAACAGAACTCGGCAGACATTCAATGGCCGAAAAAATCTGTTGCCATCGTTCGATTTTTCAAATGCGCACTAAGATGGGGGAGTTTGAGTAGTGTGTGGGCATGGCCAGTGGCATCAAGGGGTCCAGATAGCAAATGCCGTCTGAAAAAAAAAGAAAAAAAACATACCGGAAAACCTCCGTAGTGAATAATCAGTCTTCTCTCGACGCATTTGACACGGCCGATGTGGAGATTTGTTAACTGCAATATTGCAAGCCAGCCGAGGACCTGTGAAGACTTGTGAAACCCGTGAGTGCATGAAAATTTATTGTTCAACTATACCAAAAAAGAGGAAACCAGAGGTCGGTGATGTAGCCGAAGTGACAACAGTCACTACTAGTGTGGAATTGCAAGGAGACTCTAGAGCAAATGGGTCGCAGAACAGGGTCTTCGTGTATTGAGTAGGTGACAGCCTGAGACGAGCGTTGAACGTTGAACTCAACTCGTCCAAATAAGGCAAGTTCGACTTCGCCGTGCATGATCCACTGATACTTACACTCAGATCATCTACTACTATATCTACTACGTCTTCGGTGCTCAGCGAAAATGCCCCCATATCATGGAATTATCCTCTGCTCAGCTTACTGCGCTTCAAAGTGCTCAGTCCATCTTACACGACGCTGGGCTGTCTCCTCGCGATCTCGATGATCACTCTCAAGCTTCGTCTCCATCCCCATCATCTTACTCTTCCCCAGATTCACCTACTACACCTCTCCCATTGTCTGATCCGGACTCGTGTTCTGCCATTCTCGCAGCCCAATATATTCCCCCTCCTGCACGCTCCTTCACGCCAGCTGAAATATCTGCTGGTGCTCACCGTATCAATCGACAGTCAATCGCACACGCAATCATCAATCACCCACCAGGTATCATCGTCGAGTATCCTCAAACTGGTTCATCAAAGGGCAATGCTATTGCCCACATTTTTACTCTTGCTCGCGACTCAAACACCGCGGATTTCAACCCTGCTCCTCAGTCCAACTTCCAGTATTCACTAGGTGATGGTCATGGTGGCTTGAAGGGTGTTCAATGTCACCTGCTCCGTGATAGTGCGGGCCAGCCAGTGCGCTGCAAAAAACTCTCTACATCTTGTAAGTCTGCGACGTTTTTCTAACCTGCATTTAGTACTGACTGCTCCTTTGCAGGTAAAGGACTTAAAACGTGTTCTGCACGTTCGGAGAAAATTTTCAATGCCACGCACTCATATACGAATCGCTCGCACGTTGCAGAGCTCATTGCTCCCCCGCTCCTACCATTTGAAGACAGTGCAAAGCGTGAAGTTTTCCTCAAGACATTTGCTTTTTTCTGCTCTCTTGTAGAGCACGGTTGTGCATTTATGGCCAGTCCTGAGTGCGTTGGCATGGATCGTGATGACGCAGACTCGGATGATGTTAGTATGACGAGTACTGTTATGGACGACGAAGAAGGTACCACACGACACTTGTCGAGTGCTAGTAGTACCTGCCAAGGTAAACTTGTCATGCGAGTTGACAGATTCAACCGGCGCTACATCCAGTAAGTTGTTTCTTTTGATTTTCTCATTACTGCGCAGCTAATGTAAGATTTAGATGCCAATTTCGCTCGCAAAATAATCGGTCCCACCTGATTCTTGGTAACCTGCAGGAATTTGATACTCGCTACCTGCAGGCTCTCCTTGATGATGATGAAGTACTCATTGCATCTCATGAGGAGGATGCGAGACAGGATGGATATGGCCCGCTCATTCCTTGTCGCTTTGTTGCCTCTCCGTCTGAGCAAAAGCAACTTTGTCGTGGGTTTTTCATTTATGTTCTTCTTGCAATGTCTTGAAGTTTTTGTAGCACATTGGCATCGATTCAGCGACGGAACATTAGCACGCGGAACATTACTTAAATGGGAGCACCATTGCACCGCCAAATTCGACATTTATGTACCCGAGGATTTACCTGCATGCCCTCAAGTTGTTGTCATTTGTCACAACCCTCATTCACATCCTCCACCGGCACCTGTCAAAACACCACCTTCACTAGTCAACCTATTTCTGTCTCTTCTACTGGATATGGACTGGCAGCTTGCTGATGCAACTCCACGTCGCATTGTTTTGGACTCGGGCTTCATGAAAGGACTTCGTATGGCATTAGGATGGGTGGCAGACCGAAGCCCTTGTCTTTCTGATATTCATCCGTCGCTCGCCAACCTTGATCATGTCCGGCATTTAATTAATGTTTTCCGCTTTGAAAAATATCCCCTTGGTACCGGTTTTGAAGGTAACCGTGTTTTCGCATCTAATAAATAAAATTGACAGAATCATCTAGGTGCAAGGCTCCTAGTTGACGAAGAAAATAAACAGCCACGAGAACAGCGTTATGTTCGCTGTGCGGAGACCTACACTCTCACGGCGAAGACTGAATTCCGCCTTGTTATTTGCATGACAACCAGCATGGCTCAGCGTCTCTTGGGTGCAAAACGGATCTCGATTGACACATCATTCAAGCGCCTGCACGGTTGGCAGGAGTTCGAGATCGAGGCATGGGATAGCGAGCATATGCGGTGTAAGTCATTTGTCCAATCAGTCAGCTGTACTACTAAGGAATCAATAGCTGTGACGGGCGCGAGAGCTTTTACAACGTCTCAAAGTGCCCAAGCACACCTAATCTTATTCCAGCGTATTTTTCAGATCGCTGAAGAAGATACAGGATTATCGGTATCTTTCTATCACATTCACGGGACAGGATATGAGTCCGTTGTTGCTGACGGGCACATGGGACAAGGACTTGGTGAATTGTTTGTTCATCGTGATCTCTCTTTTGATCCTCATTGTTGAGATTCTAGGCCTCGGGATGTTCTGCGTTGAACTCTGTCAGAATAATCATGCGTTCTGCAGTTACGAGCAAAATCGCCGGCTTCGTGACCTAGATCCATATGACCACTTGCGTCGTTTCTACCGTGTTTGCATCACTCATTTCAAGCGCAACGTTCTTGCACTTCGGACATATGTCTCAAGTGAAGTATATTCTGCAATGTTGAGTCTAGCATCTACAGAAGCACAACCCGATATTGAAACGACATTCAAAACCATCCGCGCCGGTGGAAGGAAGGCCCAAGGTACATTTTACTGACAGTTTTCAAGCTTGACACTAACACGCACATAGCTTGGTTGAAGGATAAATTAGTAACGAACAAATTTGTGCTCGCTGCGATATACCGTCCAGCAAGCCTAATACCAGAAATCATTTGGAGAGCCTGTCCATCGACTACGAACGGCAACGAGCAAGCACATCGCAGTGCGAATCGTGACGGTGTTAATCTCACCCTTCTCGGTGGTATCATGCGGGGTCGGGACTTTGACGAGCGTGCTGCACAAAGCATGGGAGTCCATATGTCCTTGGGCATCAACACCCGTGATCAAGATGCAACACACGTGTGCCGTGCTACACGATCCATTGTTCGACAAGGTAATATATATTAAATTTGTTGCAATTCTAATTGAAATCTGACATGCTGTTAGCACTTGTTCAACGGCGTCGAGCCACAGTTGCACTACCTAAGCACACACCTTCAAGACTGAGCAACAGCACACTGCCACGACAGCAGTACCACGCTGAAGGCAGGCTTCCGCCGAGTCGTTTCAGCACCCTCACAGGTGCACTCGATGACACCATAGCACCACCGAGCTCGACATATGTCAGCACGCTCGAGCATGCACTGACACCTGGCGCGAACATTGTTGATTACTGGCCAACACCAAAAACCATCAGTAACTCGCCACAAACCATCAACAACTCACCAGAATCTGCGTGGCACCCCATCCGCATTCCACTCTCTCGTTTCAGCACCCTCGTGGGTGCACTCGATGACACCATAGCACCACCAAGCTCGACATATGTCAGCACGCTCGAGCATGCACTGACACCTGGCGCGAACATTGTTGATTACTGGCCAACACCAAAGACCATCAGTAACTCGCCACAAACCATCAACAACTCACCAGAATCTGCGTGGCACCCCATCCGCATTCCACTCTCTCGGTTCAGCACCTTAGCTGGAGCTCTCGGTGAAGGCCTGTGATCTCGAGGGGGTGCGGAGCGGTATAGATAGTGCGGCAGGACGAAGGTATTGTTGACGAGGTAGTGCTAAATGGAGGAGCAAGTGTAAGAACCACATAGCATAGGAATCGAGTGCCTTTGATCAAGTCCTGACTGCTATCAACGTTTTACGATTATGTAATCATTGTAGCGCAGGAATCAAGAAAAATATACCTATAGTCCATTAGAGTCCTGACTGCTATTAACGTATTGCAACTAATCATCAAGAAAAACATACCTATAGTCTATTAGAGTCCTGACTGCTATCAACGTATTGCAACTAATCATCGTAGCACAATAAACAAGAAAAACATACCTCTCAGTAGAGTCCGGACTGCTACCAACGTTTTGCAACTAATCATCCTCAACACAGCGCAGTTATACGAGAGCAAACATAAATCAATGTATTGCGCGCAAGGGTACAACAATAATACAAAGTATAGCACGGACTGAACAACAATGACAGACAAAGATAACCATGACAACGATAAGAGAAGGTAAGGTAGGATGGTGCACGCTGTGGAGAACAGTGAGGAAGACGAGGGAACATGATGCAGAAAGAATGGGGGGGATGCGGAGATGGATACTGGGTTGAGGTATATATACAAGTAGGTGATGCCGTCAACTATACCTTGAAGCGAACTGAAGCGAACTTTTCGGGGGAGTCCTGGGGTCTTGAACCCTGTGAATGCCGTGAGGGTGTTTGGACTTTTTGCAGAGGTAGTTGAAGGAACCGAGCTAGCTCGGAGTCATAACAGGGCGCTACGAACTCGATCAGGAAGTGCGTCAAGCATCATGGTGAATTGTGAAGAGGTGAAGGTGTGACATCGTGACGAGGTGAAGGTGTGAAAGGGTCAGAAAAAGATGGGGGGGCCATGTTACTGTAACATTAGCTCCGTTTCAAGATGTGAAGTCACCGACTTCTACAAATCAAAGTCGTCCAGCGAGGGGCACATCTCCGAGAAGTGTCCTGGAGTGGAGGCTCGACAGGCAAGGCAGACGTAGGAGGTGCAGGTGTTCGTATGATGACCATTCAAATGGCCACAGAGTTGGCATCGTCTAGATGGTTCTACTTCAACAATGGGGGTGGAGGGTCTAGTGGGAGCTAGGGCTCGACCAACTTCAACCAGTCTATCATGAAAATCTCCTTCATCAAGTGCGTTCATCAAGAACTCGGCTTGGGTGTTCAACATCAAGAGAATGTCATTTGAAACATGGGTGGGGATGGTGTCGTTCAGGAGAGCGCAGGTGATTCTGGCATTCTGCACATAGGCGTTCCAGAGAGCATCAAGCAGGGGGGAGTCGCGGAGTGTTTCTTTCAGTGCCTCTAGGGCAAGAGGGTCAAGGAGGTAACGATGGTAGTTTTCATGCATGTATGGGACAATGCGAGTCGTGAATGGGATGTTGTTCTGGTGGAGGGGATTCATGATGATGTTTCTGCTGCTAGAAGACGGGAGAGTCGAAGTCGTTCTTTATAGCCTTGGAGGGTGTCGGCGGCATTCGTAAGTTCAACTTCAGGGAGCCACGAGTTTTCGGAGCTTGGATAGCCTTTCCATGATACGAGGAATTTGCGGTGTCCTTTTTGTCCTTTATGAGCTAAGATGGCTTCGATTTTGTATTCTTCTTCGTCATTAATCAGTTCAGGGGGTGGTTCTGTGAAGTTCGGACCGTGGATTTCTGTCTCTCGATAGGATGATAGCTCGGAGGCGTGGAAGACGGGGTGAACTCTCCATGATGGAGGTAATCGGAGTTTGAACGTGATGGGGGATAAGACGTCAATGATTTCGAAGGGACCGTGTCGTTTCGGAGCGAGCTTCTTGGAAGGGAGATGGGTAATAAGGTGTGAGGCAGATAGCCAAACCTTGTCTCCACGTTTCCAGGGTTCATACTTCTGTCCGTGCGATCTCTCAGCCATGCGTTGCATTGCAAGGTTGTGGCAGGCGAGGGCTTCTTCTCGAGTTTTCTGGAGTCTCGTCAATCGTTCTTCTGCAGTGGGGATGGTGGATTCGGGGAATGTGTAGGGGATACCGCGTGGTTCATAGCCCATCATGAGGAAGAATGGGGATGCATTGCGGGCGTCATGCTTGCGGTGGTTGTGGACAAACTCTGCCATAGGAAGATGTTTGGCCCATTCAGTCGGGGTGTTGCGGCAGTAGATGCGCAGATAGGTTTCGAGTTCCTGGTTCAGTCGTTCTGTCTGTCCGTCTGTCTGAGGGTGGTATGCGGTGGATAGGGCGATATCGTAGTCAAGGAGTCGTCCAAGTTCTTTTGCGAGTTTTGAGGTGAACTGGGGGCCTCTATCGGAGATAATTTTGTCGTAAAGTCCAAATCTAAGGAAGACTTTCTCGAAGAATAGCTGAGCTACTCCTTCTGTGGTGATCATTTTGTTGCAGGGAGCTAAAATTACCCCCTTCGTAAGACCATGGTCTACCACGACCATGACTGAGTCATAGCCGTCGGACTCGGGGAGGTCGGTGATGAGGTCAACGGAGACCTGAGAGAAGGGATGGGTCGATTTCGAGGGTATCGGATGCAGGGGTGGGGTCGTCGGATGGGTATCAGACTTCATTTGCTGGCATGTAGCGCAGCCTTCTACGTATTTTCGGATGTAGGTGCCCATTCCGGGCCACCAGTGGTTACGCTTAACCAATTCTTCTGTCTTGAATCGTCCCGGGTGACCTGCAGTTGCATGGTCATGATGGAGGGAGAGGATCTTGGGTCGGAGTGCGGGAGGTGTGTATGTGCGGTCCTTGTAGAACAGCACACCGCTGTCTAACTTCCAGTCAGAGAGTGCAGACTTCATAGGCGGGGCACAAGTGCCGTCTAATGCCTTAGTTGCAGTGTCAATGATTGGGTCAGAGTCAGGGTTGCTTGCTTCGCGGAAGGCGTCCGCTAGAGAAGCATCAAGGAGGTTCACAAATAGGTTATCGGGGAGGAGGGTCATATCTTCGTTATCCGGTTCGCCGTTTGAGTGGTCGGGTCGTCTAGAGAGAGCATCGGGAGCGATGAGTTTGCTTCCAGCGACGTGGTGGAATTCGAAGTCAAAGGTGGCGAGGGTGAGTTGCCAGCGGGCTTGGCGTCTGGTCAACTTCTGAGTGGATCGGAAGTAGAGGAGGTTCTTGTGATCTGTGAATATAATCACGGGGTGCGGGTTTCCTTCGAGGAAGTGTCTCCATGCTTGGAGGGCGCGAATCACAGCAAGGAGTTCACGATCGTAGATCTGATAGTTCCTTTCTGCTGCGTTCAGGGATTGGGAGAGATATCCACATGGGTGGTAAAATCCATTTTCGTCTGTCTGGAGGAGGACTGCTCCGGTTGCGAAGAGTGAGGCGTCAGTTGCTAATGCAAACTGCTTGGTGGGGTCGGGGTTCTTGAGTACTGGTTCCGAGAGGAAGCATTCTTTCAGCTTTTGGAATGCGGCTTCGCATCCTTCTGTCCACTGGAAGGGGACATCTTTCTTCGTTAGATCAAGGAGGGGTCGTGCGATGTCGGGGAGCAGTATAGTCTCCCAGGCCATACTCAGTTGTCTTTGCAAAAGAGTCATTCATGCCCAAATCAAATCTGACTGTAATGTCAGATTCCTGCAGCCATGCTTGAGTATTAGGAGATGCATCTGGGGACTGTGATATGGGAGGATGAGCCACAGGAGTTAGAAACCTGAAATGAATATTAATAAAGTTTTAATAACAGCAATCAGAAAGTTACCTGGGTTTGACAGTAGCCGGAGGAGAACACTGTTTATATTGTTCATGGTGCCTTGTTTGGGGGGGACCAATCAATTCAGAACAGACTTTCATCATGTGCTTCTTCAGGACCTCAACATTGAGGTAGGTTGTATCAGTGCCTTGATAGCCTGCATCAGAACAAAAACATTGAAAGCGACCTTCGGCATTGGTGATATGCTTGCCATGGAATTTGGTAGTCACAATCTTTGTGTAGCTCTTCTTGTGGTTGGTTGCTAAGCTTATACTGGCTCTCAAATGTTGCTATTTGCCAGTTAGAGCAGCTGTAGGTCTTTATGACCTGTTGAATGGACTGCTGGCACTAGTAGTAGAAGTAAATATTGCAGAGAATTTAATTATAGTTCTTGACTATCATTCTCTCCTCCCACACATAGATGGACAGCTAAACACTCTTTGCACCTGACCTCAGATTCTCCCTTTACACCGTCTAAGTCTTCTTCATTCTCCTCACTGTCCCATACTCCACACATCTTGTTGGCCCATCTGAAGCTCCAGAATTAGGGCCAGCACATAGCCAAAACCAATGGTTCACAATAGGAAAATCACAGTATGAATGAAACATTTAGAATGAAAGTGGTGGAAAAATCTTGAGATGGAACCTTCAGTGGGGGAACTGCAGGTTGATATAGATTAATTCTAATGTTTCAAAGTTCAAAGTAACTTCACCTATATGCCATGTGAGGAACTTCTTCTGTGAAGCCTTGGAAGTATGATTAGCATATTAATAGATGCCGCCAAATATATGTCAACATCATACAAGAACATTGTTATATTAAATTTCATGTTCATATTCATTTTCTTTATCATTGTCATTTTTCCATGTGGGTGATCAGTAAGGTGCAACTTAGAAAGCACAGATGGGCCAATGGAAGTAACTTGCTTACCAGTGGATAACCTGTTCAGCTCCGAACCAGAGAAAATACATATAGTGCAGCTTGAAAGCCGGCAGAAACACCCATGGGTAATACTGTCATGTATGCTGTCTCTGCTGCCCCCTTTGGCAGTGTCTTCATCCTCATTTGCTGGGCCTACATTAAGATGCTCATTGGCAACAGCCTTTCAGAGTCTACCAACATAGCGCTTCTTGGTACCAACTGTATGGTGTACCGACTTGCAGGACACTACAGCCTCCAATTCAAGGACAAGAATGGGCGTGTTGATCACGAGCGGCTGATTGACCTTGCATGACATTGTGCAAATATTGTGCTGTGTCATATTCCGTACCTGAAGCTTCTCGTCCGGTCCGGTCCATCCGTTCTCTCGGGTCCATTCTAGAATGCATTTCCCCGTGTCCCCATTTGTATATGCTTCTTGATGCCCCTATACGCCCGGATCCTTCTGACAGTTAATATCCGGGTTCATTCTGATCTGTCCGTTAGTCTATTCATTTCCCTTTCATTTAACTTGTCCCCCCTGTTTCATTTAATCTCCGGCTCCATTCTCGATCGTCCGCAGCAGTTCATATCCGTTAGTACATTTTCTACATAGCCCTCTGATCCGAAGACTGCGCTTCGGCCGGAAACCCGTCGGATACACTACAGTATATAAACCCTTTGTAACCCGTAGTATTTCCTCAGTTCGATTATTAACTTAGACTCTGTTCAATCCTCGTGTCCTCTCAGCTCTTGGGATTATTATCCTAGTCCGATCCTCCGAGCCTCGGGATTATATCCCTAAGGCTAAATACCTCCGCCTCTACCTTCGGGTAGTCTATACCTTGTTAGTTTCTACCCGGACGAAGTCTCGGGTAGTCTTCCCCCTTTCGTCCGGCCCATCCATACCCCTCTCTCTCGTCCGGCCCATCTATACCCTTCGGCCGACGATATCTAACCCCCTGTAAATTAGGGGCACGTACTCGGGTAAAGAGCACAGCGCACGAGCTGAAGCTAAGCCCCTCCGGTCCAACCCATTGGACACAGTCTTAACATGCTGCCCGTATGTGTCCTTCCTAAGTTATGGCCCCAGCTTTGTTTTTGGTTGCCTTATTGAGAGGAGGAGGCACAGGTTAGCTCATAACTTTTTTTCGACACACTCTCTGACCTCAACTATCTATCATACTAATCTACAGTACTTTGCAATGTACCTGTGCTAAAATCTTGCTGCCCGCAGTTTTCATTATCAACTTATGGCTTAACCTTTGTTCTTGTTGGCATACTAGGAGAAGGAGGAGGACATGTGAGCTCGTATCTTTTTTCATATTTGTTCCTCATGCTAATATGTTCAGATCTCATACTAAGTACTCTAATACACTCCCCGCACCACTCATATCTGCAACCACACATCTCATCCATCTGTTATGGTCTGAGTCACTGCAAAATGACTACGCACAAATGCCACTCTAACTAAGATACCCCAATGGGTCACATAGATCCAAAGTAAAGCCACACCCTTCAGAGCATCTTCCCATACACTCACTCTTGTGCCCAAAATGAACAAAAATGAGTGCTCTAACTCGACATATAAGAAGCCCAACGATAAAAGCTTAATGATGCCCATTGCTCCCCCATACCACAAGACCGGCCCTCAAAACACAAGGTGTGCCACTCGCCCAAAAACCTAAGAAAGGGGAAGGTGGGAACTGCACCTCACCTATAGACATCACCCCCTTATCAAAGACCAGTATCTCATACCAATACACTCTGAGCCTATCACCCACCAGAAAACAAAGGAACAAAGACCTCTCCAATATAAAAACTCTCAATCCCAATCCCAAGAGCCGCCACCACAACACAAATACCTCTAACTATCCGCTGTCCACCATGACAAACACTAATAAAACTCCCAATCCACACATGAACACAAACTCCTGTGAGAACAAACACACCAGGCAGAAATCCAAACACTCCGACATGTCTAAGTCAGAGGAGGAAGGGTCAAGCACTAACAAAAAGGCCACCATAGAGAAAACAAAACAAATGCTCCTCAACCCATTGTTCAGCCCATCCCCCAACTAATCTGTGGCACTATCTCCAGACCGGGGCCATGAATGCCAACGGCAACATCGGTCGGTGTCATACATACTACATAAGGCATCACCCTAACACTATCGAACCAGTAAATGGAGTGCTCATGCTAGACAAGGGCTTCAAAATGACCGCGCCACCCACAGGCGGCTTCCCATCTCCCCAACTATGACAGTCAGTATGGCGAAACATAACCCTCTCCCTCCAGGAGAAGTGGCCCCAGAAGGAAGGCTCCAAAGCCTGGGCATGCACCTTTAGAGCCAAATACAAAGACAACACCCAGATAACTAACATCAAGATGCACAATCTCATCGCACTCGTCGTCAGGGAAGCGGCCGTATCATCGCTCCTAATGAGCACACCTTCCACAGAAGACAAACAGCACAAGGATACCCATAAAATCTTGATCTGGGTCCTCAGCCAAGATGTCAATGTATATTCTAAGCTGGTGGTGGGCTGAATTTTTATGGATGTTGGGGCCACTCTTGACTTCAATACATATCAGAGGGATGTCACAATCAGTGAGCGGCTCCACATGTATGTACAATGATGAAATCGGGGATAAGGGGTTTAGGATTATCCTTTCCCATGGATATAACATGTTGCCCCATGGAGTCGGTCAATGAATCATTGTGTAGTGCATTGTACTGCCTCAATTTTGGTTGTGGCTTTACTATAAAGCAGGCTACTCTGAACACATGGTTTGCAAGCTTATCAATCAAGCCATAACATGAGGCCTCAAAATGAGGATGGGTACAAACTGATCATCAATCAGCATTAACACCGCACTATAAAAGTCCTTGAAGGCTTCAAGTTTAATTTGTAATTAAATTAAATTATAGCTCATCATTATGTTGAAAAGATGACTTAGAGCTAAGACATCCTTAGGTGATGCAGATGATTGACAAACTTGTTCAGCAGTCCACTCTGCTTCCTCATTGATTCCACTGGTGTCTAGCGGCTAGACCACAGTACTATAGTCTGTGAGAGCATTACAATATTTAAATTGGAGATATTTTGGGGTGGAGCTTGAGGTAACTTGTGCTTTAGACAATGTTGGAAGATGTCAGACTTGAAAGTGCAAAGATGGCCTTACCACCTGGAATCAGCATGAAGCCAAACAGAAAGCCGCTCGAGGTAAGGGCTTTAGACTGAGTGGTGGTGTATATGATGTTAGAGAGAGATGTGAGTAGAACTGTCAGTGTGAAAAGTTTGATCCAGATATTATTACTGGTGGTGACATAAATGATAGCCAAGGAAGGGGAAAACTGTGATTGGTTTTGCTGGCTTAGTACAGCAGGAAAACGTAAACCCCTCCATGTGATGATTTGCCTGGGATGTTCCACAGCCACAAAAATCACCTATCTCCTTCCCTACCAGAAAAACAATAGTCTCGGGACCAGATTCAACATCCTACTTTGCGCAGAACCACAATCACCAATTGGTCCCTTCAAACATGTCAAACAGTATCTCGCAGCGCGCAATGCTTCATTCCCACATCATCCTGCTTTGTGGTTAACAAGCAATGGCAATATGCCCACCCGTGCTTGGTTCCTTCGACGTCTCCATCACTTTTGCGGAGCAGAGTATTCAGGACATTCTATGAGGGCAGGTGGTGCCACTGCTCTCACTGCCACAGGAATGGCTCCTGATCTCATTCTTGCTGTGGGACAATGGTCCTCTGACGAATTTAATAAATACATTCATCAGCATCCTTTTATTGCATGCACTTATGCACGGCACAGCACACATGCCATAACACTACATCATTTCTGACAATCAGCAGCCCACATCTCACTCTTTGTGTTTCGTTCGCCAGTCACACTTGTATTTGTATTTCAGTCTCGGACTCAACACTTCCTCGCTCGGCAAAAAATGTACACGAGAAAAAGAACAACAGAATAATTTATAACAATCATAAATCAAAAACAAAACAAAATTAAATTAAAAATTAAATTAAATTAAATTAAATTTAATAGGACCTTTAGCATTCTTTTGAGCCTCCATTTTTGTTGTCTCACCCAAGCCTCTATCCGCTAGTTAGTTTCTTCTCCAAGTTCCCGACTGTATTCATTTGTATTCGCGACCCTAATAAAAATTGTGACCAAGTCCCCCGAGCATGAAGCTGGGGGACTCCGCTTGCCCTAAACACATGAGACCATCCAAGCGTAGATTGATTCACGGCCTTATGTCTACTGTTGAGATATGCACTTACCTTCAACATGATCTGGGTGTGACCAAATGAGCCATAGCTTTGACCTACTACCAGCCGCTGTCAGTGCCTGCAGCAACATGCATACGGCAAAATGATCCTCAGGCTCGCGCTCACCGGTGTGGAGCACTTCCGAGTCGTATTTTCACATCTGTCAGGCAACATGGATCCTCCAATGTTCGGTACTAAGGCATCCATCAGTGAGCTCTAAAACAATCTCCATCAACTTGAAAGCCCTTCAACACCATGCCCAGTTCATATGATGTCTCTGCCAGTGACTCAGAGTCAGAAACGAGTCACAGCAAAATACTGTTTACTCTCCTATGTTTTCCTACAAAGCATTGTGCAATTATTCCTTTGCATACCCTCTCAGTCACTCAGCTGCTCGACTTCAACCTCCCCGCAAATCTAGAAACCGATTTGCTGACTACCAGTATCATCTTTTCTCAAGAGTTCCCTATGGTCCAGCTCCCCACAGATTGTGTTTCGCAATCAGTTCCTACAAATTCAACGGCCACCACACTTTGTGATCATGCTGGTAGTGCCTGGCAGGACATAAATCAATCAGTCATCCATCCTTCATTCCCTGATGACCCACTTCCTTTATGGGTCTTGTCATACTGGGTATCCATGTGTCGTGTGCTTGAACATCAATGTGATTGGCACATATTGCACAACTGGATCTTAGACTGACTGGACACTGTTTCATGTCACTGCCCTGAGTTGGAACTAATTGACAACATTTTCGATGTCATAGAGCATCTTCCGTGGGATGCTCCACTCAAGGGAGTTGGTGCTTGCACTGATCTGTCCACTAGTGGGCTCCGGCCACTGTTAGCATCAGGTCCAATTGGTGGCCGTCTTGTGGATACTATGATTGCTGCGGTAGTCGAACATATGCAGTCATCGGAAAACGGAGACCGTCAGATAGTCTGTGTCAAGTCCCTCGACTTTATGAATACACTTAGGCTCAGTGAGAAGCGGTGGAGAAACTACAAGACTGAGAAGGATGGCACCCACTTCAACATATGATGGCTACCAAAGTGGTGTTGTGACTACAAAGAAATAACAGCACATGTGATCACGTCGTGTAAGAAAGGTATTAAAACTGGTACACACAGATATCTCTGTAATGATGGGTATCCTTGACCAAGAGCCTATAGCATCTCTCGTTCTGCATGGCCTCTGCCCAGAGTGTAGCAGTGCTGTCAAGAATATTGCTGGTGTCACGTTTCAACGGTCCAAATCCATCCATCTTCATCGAGGTTGTGGACACCTGACACTTGCGGGAAGAATCCTGGACAATATCACTATGATAGTGTCGATGGCTTTCAAGCGTGGCAAGTATTTCTTGAAAATCTGGTCAAAACTGAGGTTCTTGTGATAAGCAGCTGTGGATAATGGGTTGCATTATTCTCATAAAGTCACTTTTTTTGCCTTAAGAGACACATCAGCAACTACAAGTGGACAAAACACTTGAACATACTGATACTGAGTACACTCATTCAGACTGTTTCGTCGGGGATTATTTGGTTATATGACACAAGGCCCTGACTGAGGATTTGAACGGAACAATTACCAAATGCATAGGTATCTGCTTTGACTGTTGCGATGATACCTTCAGGTGCCTTCCATCTCGACATCCTATCTACGATGATCAATCAAATGATCAGGAACAGGCATTTCCTTCAAGTGATAACATTCTGGGTTTTCCACTTCACCTGTAGGCCTCATCCTTGAGGTCGTTCTGACCAAAGCCAGTGCTTTGATTTTGACCTTGACCTTGACTTGGGCTCCTCAGCCAGTTGGGTCTTGGCCTTCTTTGCTACACACTTAGGATGTGAATCAGACAAGAGCCCAGTGGATGAAGAGATCATTGGATCAGATGAGGAAGTGCCCAGATGAGATCAATAATTCCAACAGGCAGGCATAATAATTTCAACTTTCACTGGCACAACTGTCTCAACATCAGCCTCACATCAAAACAATGTCTCTTACAACAACCAACACAGATACTATCTATGTTGATATGGTGCATGATGAAAATGGACTCAGTCTTGCCTCTTTTTGCTTATCCATCCGCTTTGTCAGAAACATACAGTCACAGATGCAACGCACAGCCGCATTTAGTGTCAGTCAACTTTATTAAAGTGTTGTCTTCCATCTCACAATTTTTTTTCAGCCGCTGAAAATTTCTATTCACATTCCTGAAGCATATGTCAGTGAAATTTCTCCCATAGTAGAGCGCATTAGTCTACATGTTGCATTGACTGGCCACCCATCATTGAATAAGCTGCCAGAGGTAAGCGGACTGCACACAGATCTTTGAATTTTGATCATAACATTATATCTTAGACACCTTTTCGTTCTTCCCCCTTGCATTGACATCCAATCACCTTAATGGTCGGACATGGGCAATACTTGCCGACAACATTCAATACTGGCTTGTCCAAGAGCTTGATCAGGTGATTTCAATGGTGGTCTGATCATGCAAAATGGTTGAGATTTGAACAAGATAGGACCATTATATGAAAAGGATGCAAAATGAAAGGACAGCTTATACATTAACCAGACCTCAAGTGTTTGACAAGATAATCAAGATAATACTAGCTTCAGATTAGACACCTGAGTCATTTCACAACATTCACATTTTCCTTAACTACGTGATCCTATCTTGTAATGCTCATATCTTACTCAAATCTTAACCATTTTGCATGATCAGACTACTGTTTTAATCTCCTGATCAAGCTCTTGGACAAGCCAGTATTGAATGTTGTCGGCAAGTATTGCCCATGTCCGACCATTAAGGTGATTGGATGTCAATGCAAGGGGGAAGAACGAAAAGGTGTCTAAGATATAATGTTGTGATCAAAATTCAAAGATCTGTGTGCAGTCCGCTTACCTCTGGCAGCTTATTCAATGATGGGTGGCCAGTCAATGCAACATGTAGACTAATGCGCTCTACTATGGGATCCTATCTTGTAATGCTCATATCTTGCTCAAATCTTAACTGTTTTGCATGATCAGACCACCATTTTAATCTCTTGATCAAGCTCTACAATATGTACTACAAATACCCGCAGGTTACCTGCCATGGGTACAGGTAGGGGTATACCCCTGGCAAAAACTTTCTACCCATGAAAATTTTGTGGGTAGAGGTAGGTACAGCTGAAAATACCCATGAGTTACCTATGCAGAACATTACATTGGGCTGGTGTGTTGTTAGATAGTTGCTTCAATACAGGTGGAATCTATTTACCTCATCAGGAACACATAGGAACATTCAAAGAGTGATTCTTGGGGTCTTCATTGATGCATCCTTCTCCGATAGCATTTGATCCTGCTTCAGCTTTCCATACAAGCTGCTCATAGTTGCCCTAATCAGATACTTATGTTCCTCAACCAAATTGATGGCAGTATTGTTGAGTACCGTGCAATATTTTATCCTGTGCCTGTAGCATAAAGCTTGTCAGTATTCATCAACTGACCAGTACTATATGGTAATATTACCAATCAAACATACATGAGATTGAGAGCTGCATTAGAAAGCCCCAAAAGTGTTGGAGTACTCTTATATAAGCCTCTTTACCTCAAAGCTAATTGTTCAAACACAGTAGTGGCCTGGTTTACAGTAGTAAAAGCAACTTATGATGTTGGAATGGTGAGCTTGGAAGGCTTTGTACTGCCAGCAAGATATTGCAAAAGTGTGAAATCAACATCGGCCTTCACTGCCCAAGCATCAGCCTTGAGAGCAGAGATCTTCTGCCTTATATCACTTGCATTTGATGTTGAAGTATGTTATAGCCATTGCTGATTTAGTCAGTGCTGACTTGCCTTATGGCTATGCACAGTCTGATGGTGTAGAATAGACTGACTGACACTGGCTGTATTAGTGCCTGATGGTTTGTTTAACACTAAGTATGACATTAGACCGAGATATGAACTGAGAATTCTAAATATTTGCTTACTATTGTGGCTGCCTTTATAAGCAGCACATAAGGGCAAGCACAAGAATGGGCAAACACAACTACAAGATTCACATTGTGATTGTTGTTGAAAGTATTGGTGAATATAAATATTAACATGAAATGAGGTGAACACGCACCATGATAAGTTCTTAGTCAGCTGAACTTGCAGTTCAAGCTTCATACACTTTGCACATGTCAGGACGTCAAGTTGAGGAAAAGATAGAAAACATCCCAAGCGACAAACTATGAATCACAACAAGAAACTTAGCCTGTAGATAATCATAGTGGTGATTGGATACTGGCAGATGCTGACAGCAATACTTGTGAGATGCTGGATGATGGATATGTTTCCCTCAAGATTTCACACTTTCCCTCTAAGGACAAGCTTGATATAGTGTTCACCTTTAGACAGCTGGCCGCTGTCTATATGCTGAAAGTTAGCAATAGGCCAGGTCTAACCTCACCTGCACTCCTTGAGTGTGTTGTAAATAGTGTCGATTCCATTGTAGACCTTCCCTAAATTCAGTGTTTCTATTAATCCCTTAGACTAATGTGAAGGCTGTAATACAAATTACAAAATTCTAACTGATGTAAAGAAAAGTTTGAATTGCCCATTCCGAAGGATATTGCTATTTGAGAAGTAGGTAAGAATAATTTTTCGCCCCTTGGTGACTAGGGTAGTGCAGTGCGCCAAAGTGACAACTGAGATAAATTTGGCTATATGATACAACATCTACTACAGAAGGTTAGATCTACACTAGCATCTTCAAGCTGCCCATTAGTACATCTTGGGACTTATGCATATCCTTAGGAAGATAAGAGTCTCTCTAAGACCAATTCACCAAAGGGGGCAATTCAAGCTCCTCAGGCAACATTAGCTAGTAGTGAATGATGTTAGGATGAATTAGAAATTCAAGACTAAACAGTGTAGAGAGTCATCTCTCTAACAGAACAATACATTTATGGGCCTACATGGGTTGGCCTGTGTAAAACATAGATATTTCAACCTCAACTATATATTTTAATCAAGAGTAAAGTGACTGCAATATGTGCTTTTACATTTGTGAAGAAGGGACCTGTATAACACCAGTATGGAATCCTTTTTGATATGCTTGGAAGTCTACTTGTCTTGTATCATGGTCAAACAACATGCCAGGATAACACTCTGCAAATTTCTGTAAGAAAAGGTACAACATGGAATGTGGAATAACTCACTAATTTTGTTGTTTTGAAAGCAACTTCCTTAGCTTCACTCAAAGCAGCAAATTCTTGCTTTTGCCCTGCTCTTCAATGATATTAATTATATTCTCCTCATTACACACTACAGTACCCTTACACCATGGAAAGAAAGCAAAGGGGTTTGACTAGATTGCATTTAAGTTATTGGCTTCTCTTTTGGATGCTGTGTCACTGTGTGGGATATGCAGCCACATCGTAACAGACTTGACAAAATGTAGCCTTTCATCATACTTAACTCTGGGCTTGTCTTGGTGTACAAAGTTTTCAGAAATCCTCACCTTATTTTCATTCTACAGAACTGGGAGAAATAGTGGAGATGACTTATGGTGTATGGGACTGAATAAATTTGTTGATTGCTCAATGGTGCTATGTCTATATGGAATCCATGAGCTGAATGCTCCAGTAGTATCCGTGAAGAAATAATTAACCTACAAACCAGGGATGTGGCGGGGTAGGATGGGAGTGGCCTCTGAAGAAGACGATAAAGTCAAACATGACAGCTGACACTGAACAGGCAGGTGGTTGACTTTATAATCTTGAACAATATAGAGTTTCAATGTGTAAATGAGACTGTAATACTAGGCTAATACTAGGCTTGTTGCATACCGCACCCATTGGTCTCGCAAGGAGGTGTACTCCTCTGCGTGGAGTGCATCAGACATAGTAAGCAAGGGTCTAGTGAATACTACTCACCCTGCCCAGCAGTATCAATGATTTCGATCAAGCACATCTTGTTATCCACAATTAACTGCTTCCTGTAAGCATCTTCTATTGTGGGGTCATAAGTCTGCGGGCACGGCCGTGGGTCAAATTGATGGGAGACGTGTATAGGAACACATACCTCTGAATAATGTTGCGCCCAGGATGATCTGAGTGAAAGTGGTTAGATTGCAGCGACAGAAGGCTGATACTGCTTAGACATACCAATCAGGTGAGCGTGGCCTAGAACAATAGGGTGACATCATGATAGACTGACTTGTACCGCCAATGCAGTTTTACCAACACCACCGTCACCAAGCACTGCCACTCTCCATTTATCCATGGCTGTGGTTGATGAATTAGAGATTTGTAACAGAGGACAAAGAGTTCCTACTGGACAAAGAGAAAGGGCACTGGCAGGAGATAAGGTACGTCCTTTTGCATTTTACATTTTACATTTTACATTTTACATTGTACATGATTTTGAACTGAGCTAACTAAACTGATCGCCACAACCCTGCAGAGCGCCCAAACACATAATGATTCCAAACACAGATGAGTCAGCCATTTGCTTGCAGATTTGTGGTGGCGAACAAACAGAGGTCCAAGGTGTATAATTTTAGACATCTGTATAGTTCAGAGGCGTCATGAAGCGCTGGTAAAACGGTGAGCCGTTATGTTCTTTGTGACTGAGATACTCTACTCACCAACAAGCCGCCTGAGCATCTCAAATGCTTGCATGTTGTTGAAGTCAGGCATGATGACTAACCGTCCCTCCCTGTGTTTCATTGTGCCCGTGATTTCGTCCTCACCAATCAGGCCCTCCAGTTTGATGAGTGTGCTGTGTATGATGGACTGCGGGAAAATGGACAGGAAATATGCTTGTTGGGAGTAGGCGCAGTGTCAGTTGTAGTAGACAGGACTGCAGGATTGACGCCTGAAGACTGCAACCCGGTGATCACCACCCACATGCGTTTGCGATGAATTTAGGCAGAGACGCATATGAGCGCCAATCCTTCCAGACAAGGACGGACAAGGGTTGTGCGTGGAATTTTGCCTGAGATACAGGGTATCAGATATGAACGTGAACTTCAGGGGGGTTACTCACCTTGCATAGTATGCATTTCTTCGAGAGTAAACTTTTACCGAGCAGATGATCATAGAGCTGTTGCCGATGACTCCAATACCAGTGTTGACAGATGGCGGAATACAAGGAGATTGGAGTCGGCTGAACCTAGTATGCGAACGAACTACAATCATGAGCGCCAGCATCAAAAGATAACACAGTAAACACATATGTGGAGGAGGCACCTCAAGGCCAACCTTGTTTGGGGCTTCGATCTCCTTCATGTTACAAATGCACAACATTTCGCCACTAAGTTGGGCCTAGATGTCAACCAATCCATCACCTTTGGGACATTGGCCATCGGGTTGGTGGTGTACGTGTTAGACTGATGAGCCACTGAAGTAGACCTTGCAGGCATAGGTGACAGTAAGCTGAAAGAGGGAGCATATTTCAGGGTGAAATGGGGACAGAGGTGTGTTCTGTTTGAAGTGCGAGTGCGGGATACTGTATTGCTGAGTGTCGAGACTGACTGATCCTGTTGAGTATATGTGCATCTAGCGAGTGAAGATGTGTACTTGCCAATAACCCAGGCATGAAGTTGAGCGTTTGAGTTCACTCCAGCAGGTCAGCACCATTTCAACCTTGTATATTTATATTTCATAGACTAACCTGAAATGAAGGCTCATTGCCCACCTGGTAATATCCTTCCTGGAGGTCATAAAGGTGAATATTAGTTAGGACGACCCATATGATGAGCCTACCCCAAAGAAATGGTCGAGTCGATCCGTGAACATCATTTTTCCTCCCATGAGCTCAATCAAGTATCCCGTATCATGTGGTGCATCCCTGTTATTGTTCCTCATAAGCTACCCAACGCGCCTCTACGCAAGAACAGAGACACTCACCAGCTATACTCCCATGACAATGATTCATAGAACCCACTCTGGTTATTCTCCTGAAGCGAGCGCTCCTGACTGCTCCTGGTGTCCTTCGGCAAGTAGCCGACAGGGTCGGTATTATAGAAGGTTCCGTTGGAGAATCTCTTCTGCATGAATCCTGCGGTAACAATGTCAGGATTGACGTTCCTATCACTGCATTGACTCAACATACCTTGGTATCCATCACTATCCACAGTTGTGCCCCAGACATTGCAGTACCACTGTAACATTTGTGATCAGCGACTTTGGACACCATATGTGTTCGCTCACATAGGATCGGTTCGCGTAGTATTCAACATCATCCGTTTTCCCAAGCACTTGCGCCACCTGGCGAATACCGAAATCCTCGAATGCATACTGAAACGAATACAGCAGAGTCTTGAGATCAGAATGCCAACATTGATGACGAAGCATTCACCTCAAGAGTTCTACTTCCCTCCCTAGTCTGCCTACCGGTGCTCCCAGTGTTCAGAACAGCGAAAGGTACGTGGGAAAATTCCCTGCAAATTTAATTCAGCACTCATTCCAACATACCGCCTACAAAGTCACACACTTACTTATAAACATTCACCTATCATACTGATAGCATTGCAAGAGCGTTGAGGTTCTGGACTTTCCACAGCCATCAAAGCCACATTCATCGAGAGACTGTTCAGTGTTGTTTCAGTCCTTCTGCCATGAACATTGTTTCACTTGATTGTGTCTTGTCACTACCTTCTCAGTGACGGAACAAGTAACTCGCGAATCACCCTCGAGCTGCTTGAGGCAATGGGTGATTGGTTGCCTCTGGTACTTCCTATTCCATTCATGCAGCTTTGGAGGAAGCACTTGCTTATCTTCCTCACTGATGGAATCCGTGCCCTGCAGGGTTAAGAGGGTCGAGAGAAACTGGCACATTTCTACGAGGTACGTAGGATTTGCTGGATCTGAAGATGCGGTGGCCATGCGACACACTTGAGTCTTACAAATCGATGACTTCGCCGTGATCAATAGAAACCTCCATTTCAGCAGTGTGACATATGGTCCTAAGGGACGTGCTTCGCACGTTGGGACTCACTTTGCTCCAATTTTTGCTCTGACGGGCTGAAGGGCGTGGTCAAGGTGAAGTTTGGCGGTGAGGTCCATCAGCACATCTGTGTCAAGTGTTCTTGCTTGAATGCCTTCCATGACTTGGGCAAAGCAACCCTCTGTGATGAAAGCGGCTCAGCTCCAACCCAATTATAAAGCTGTCATCTGTACCTCGGCTTTTAAGCCCTTGGCCTTCAAGTCTTTGAATGTTACATCCAACACCTCCCGTTAGTGACACGAGTTCTAGTAGGTTCTGGTCACCGGGGCCATTTGGTGTGATTAGGATTGCCGTATCAGAAGAATAAGTTAGCTTACCAGGGGGTGTAACTCAAAGGTAGACGGGAATGTGGCCCCCAGCCCAGGGTGATGGTAAGGGTGACACGCTCGATGAGCCCTGTTCTTATGCGAGCAATTGAGATTCTGGGTCATTGTCATATACCGTACACTGAGCCCCTGAATCATATCCCATCTCTCCCAACAAACAATGTCTGGACCTCCGAATTGTAGCCAAGCTATACCTTAACCCTATCCCTACCCCTCGGCAGGATAACTCCGCATCCCAGTCTCCACCGGACATACCCCTCAGCAGGATCTGCCCTGCTTCCCTATACATCGGACATCCTATATGTCGGACACCCTATTCATCGGTCCTCCTCCTGTATGCCTCGGATCCCCTATACATCGGACGTCCTATACGTCGGACGTCTTATTCATCGGTCCTCCTCCTGCATACCTCGGATCTCCTTTTCGTCGGACGTCCTATTCGTCGGATCCCACTCACTTGTCCGCTTGTCCACTTGTCCACTCCTCCTGTATTCATTGGACGTCCTATACGTCAGACCCACTCGGGTCCACTTAACCCCTAAGCATCGGACCCTAAACATCGGACCTACTCAGATCCTGAGCTTCGGACCCAGGTCCACTTAACCCCTAAAACATCGGATCCACTTCACAGTTCATCTCCGTCCCCATTTCCCGTGATCTGCTTGACAGTTCATTTCTGGTCCTGCTCCTATTCTGTTACCCCATTTGTATAGTCCCCTTGTCCTAACCCCTATATGCCCAGATCTGTTTGACAGTTAATATCCGACTTCATTCTCGATCATACCTCCTATGCCCAGATCCATTCAATACTTCATCTCCATCTCCGTTCTCAATTGTTCCTGTATTATTTTCCTTGCACCTGTCAGTTTAACCTTTCCGTATGTTCCTCTTGTTGACCCGGATCTCCGCTGACTCCGTCCCCGTCGCACATGTCCATAGTATATAATACCTTGTAGACTCGTAGTAGTTTCCTGAGTTCGAATATCACACCTTAGATTATCCTCATTCCTGTTTCCTCGGACCCGGATCCATTTCCATGGGCCTGGGTCCACTTCCCTGTCCAACCTCTGTGTTCTGGGATTGATTCCTCAGGCTATACTCCGCCTCTACCTTCGGATAGTCTACCTCTGTCAGTTTCTACTCTGGACATTGTCTAGTGTAGTCTTACATCTAGCTTCTGTCCTTTCGGACATCCTGTCCTTCTGTCCCCTTGGACTTCCTGTCTTTCCGTCCTTACACCTGTCTGTTCTGTCCCCAACATCCACCGGACTAAAGCCCCTATTCTCCGGGTGTACTAAGCCCATATTGTCCAGCGGACTAATCCTCTTATGTTGGCCGGACTAATCCTCTTATGTTGGCCGGACTAACCCTCCTTACGTCGGCCGACAAACCCCCTTTATGTTGGCCGGACTAATCCTCTTATGTCAGCCGGACTAACCCTATGATCGGCCGGACTAACCCTCCTTACGTCGGCCGACAAACCCTCCTTACATCGGCCGGACTAACCCCCTGAACATCTGCCTGACTCTTCCTCGAAAAGCCTACCAGACTTGTCCCCTTGAAGTCCACCGGGATTCATCATCCTCCCTCAGACTTTGTTTCTAGCCTTCGGAAATTAAGGGCATGTACTCGGGTAAGGGGCGCAGTGCACGAACTGAAGCCAAGCCCTTCAGATCCGCCCTTTGAGCACGGTCTTAACAGTCATCTTGATTTGGAATTACCACAGCGCTCACAAAATGACATGAATGAATGGCGAAGTACTGTCAGGAGCCTACTGAACTCGACTCAGGCACTCCTTAATCCAATCTGATCTTTCCATTGCTGATATTTTTTGATCACATCTGGTGTGATTTGCTTTTGTATGTGCCACCTGCGCTGCGAAAACGTCAGATCAAGTAATGCTGAAACAATAAGCTTACGTGGTAGTTCACCCCTGCTCCACCAGTTCTATTGTGTTCACTGGGTAAAGCTTAACATTTCCTCAGCCAGAACGCAAACTTTCAGTGAACAACAACAACTCACTTGTCGTCCGTTCACAACAATATGGAACTTGCAAGCCAACTTCATAGTATACGAGTACCTCACGGTGGCTTATCCATCCCTCGATGTTCAGGGACCAATGCAGGCACAAGGGATGCGGTGATGTCATTTCCATCTGAGGTGTTCGGTAGAGCGCAGCATCGGTGACTGAAATCGCATAATCGCCAGGCCTGTACACACGAGGGTGTATGATTTCAAACGGCTGTCCACATTTGGCACCAATGACTCAAAAATTATGGATGTATTGTTTGCGAACACTCCAATCTCGAAGACCAGAACCAAAGATGTGCCATTCAACTCTCAAAAAAGGATTCAGTCTTGTAGGAAGGACATGCTAAGCATTTCGGAGTAGATCACATGACAAATTCCTGGAAAATGAAAGCCATGGGCATCTCTGCATGATTCCATAAAATCTCCCACCCCTTGCCTATCTAAACATTAGAGTCAGCCACGAAAAATAGCAAACACTGGGAAGTGGACGTACCAGGCCTTCTGCCTGGCCCTTTCGATGTCACAGGGAAGTCAGTGGCAACAGGTGTATGCCATGCTAATTGTCCGGAAGGAAGTACATCAGCTCGGCTGCACCATTTGTGACTAAAGGAAACAATCATGTACAGAGGAGGAGTCAAAGGATATGGGCGCCACCTATGAAGGCCACAGTAGTATGCCTTGGATAGCTTGAAACATCAGCGTACTGTCCGAAGACATGAAGTTCCAAGCGCAATGTGCATGCTCTCGTGGCAAGTTCAAGATACCAGGGTGCGTATGGTGAGATTAACCGTTCGAAATATTGTCCTGGCAATGTGATCGACAACAATCCATTCCAGCCTAGCGGAACACAGAAGTCCTCCTTAATCATGGAGCCAGCGACATTGGAGAAACGGTCATAAAATGCGCAGTTTTCATTCAAAGTAAGCTATGTGAATGAGTGAGCTGGCTGAGTGCGGCAGTTATTCAGCGCATTAGATGACTAATAAAAGTGACTAAGCTAATTGATGAATGATCGCCTAAACACAACTTCCATCCACAGCGGCGGTCTTATTGATAACTCTATTCTACAAGACCCATGTACAGCTACATTAACTACCTTTTCACATAACCACAACTGGACATAAATCCAAGAACCCGCGTAGTCTAATGTAGGTATGGAGTAAGACAAAAGGGCATGTAATACTGGTGTAGTACACGATGAACAGAGGACTCATGCGTATATATCGTCAAGGTACAAACGACAATTGCTCGAAAATCTCAATTCTCTAGTCTCGAAAAATAATACATACAGCTACAATATTTCTAGCATCCTGACATCCATCATATCGCGAACAGAAGCCACGTCTCTGACTTGTGCAATGATAGCATAATCTGACACAATCCTCTTGTATTCTCCGCTGTGCTGCTGTGCGAGCAAAAATGCGCTGAACGGCTGTCCAAGGCGAACAATCAATTGCAATGCTCATGAGTTAGATTCTGAATCAACCAGCTCCTGTTCCACAGAAAAGTCGGGCAGCATATTGTCTCCAAAGTCGGACAGTTCTGCAAAGTCAGGTAGCCCGGGCAAACACCGATTCCAGGGACGGACAAGCAAGAATGTCTGCAGAGTGGGCCTTGCAAACTGAATTAGTGTCTCTTTGGTCGTGATCACCAGGTCATGAAGACCGTCTGCCTTGACTCCATACATGAAATGAAAAGACTCCTGGGTTGGATCATGCCCTTGCCTAACCTGTGCAGTGACCCGGAATGCGATGCAAGGCAGATGCAGTCTGCAGTTCGCGAAACGAGGAGCACTCATCTTGTCAAGCTTGGTATAAAGTTTCAAAGCCAAATCAGCAGCCAAAGCATTTTGCAGTGAAGAAGCGGTTGTCTGAATCTCGTTTTTGTCCACTGATGGCAGGGTGCATGGTGGAGCAGCGTATGAGGAAATGTTGGCCAGAAGACAACTATTGAACTCGGAGGATTCTCCGATCCAGTCGAGGGCAGTGATGTCACCAGACCAAGCCACAATCTCCTGCAGGAACCGCCCTCGTGCATTTTCCTTGTTCTCGCCATAAAGGATAGGTAGTTGGATGCGGAATATGCCAAACAATGAGTATGCAATGTCTTCTGGCACAGTAGTGACACACTTAGATGCCCATTGGATTGAGCATCTCTCATCCCCAGTTGAAAAGTGACGAGGACACATGCATCTATACCCGTCGCATCCTCCAACTCATGCATGATCTTGACAGACTCCTTGTAGTTTGGGGAGTGGTCGTCGAGATATAGAGTCCAGTCCTGTTGGTGGAAGAGAATGACTTTAGGAGCCAAGAATTCCGGAATGGTCCATCCTCGGGTGTTCCAAATACTCTTGGTAAGGGAGCCAGACTTGGATGAATGCAGAACATCCGACAGGTAGATCATTGTGATGGCTGAATGGCGATACCACGCAAACATGGAATTGAGTGATTTTTGTAGCTCGACATTGTTGTACTGGTCGATGCAACATGAATCGACCCATGCCCAGTGTAACTTTGCCTTTTGGGCAATTTTGCAGAATTATTGCAACTTCACGAGACCGTTCCCACAGCACAGAATGATATCCCAAGCGCTCCGAACAAAGACATCTTGCAGCGGAATTTTGCCCTGTACCCCTGGTCCTGAAGGTGTTGGTCAGAGACAGCAACATCACGTGCCACTTCCTCGTCCTCTTCTGCAGGGGGATCTCAATGTTCTGACTTGAACATGTTGGACGTGACACACACTGGTTGCCATGAGCAGATGAAGGGAAGCAGTGTTATACAATGACTAGTAGAAAAATGGGAGCAAGGAGAGACAAGGTATAAAAAACTACTCACTCGCCTCCAGATAAGTTGGATAAGTTGTGTTTACTTTGGACAGTAGTACACATCACGATTAGCTTTCTAATGTTCTGAGTCGTTGAGGGTAGGTCGCCCTAGGGCCATGTCGATCTCGAGGTTCGGAAACAATGTCGACGATAGTACGAATGAGCTTGATTACTTGTTCCCTCTCTACGGCGTGTTTGTTATCTCGCGCTAGAGATCTGAGTTAAGATGCAGGTGTAGTCTGCGACCCGGTTTATTAGGTCGGGGGCATGGGAAGTGCAATCTGTAGTTGGCGGCTCTCGTTCTTCTGATTCTACACCATGTTCTGTTGAGAACATCTCTCTGAGCATCAAGCAACCAACGGGCAATGTACTGTGAATGAACCGGCCTGAATCAATAACTGCAAGAAAGATTAAAGCAACATACAAATGCCATGAGTTAACTGGGTCCGGAGTAAACTGCCGAGTTGACTGCTGATGCTGAGAGTTAACTGGGTCTGGAGTAAACCACCGAGTTAACTGACTGCCGAGCTTCGGTGCTTGAACTTACGGACAATCCACACAGAATGCTCCTGCTCCTGGTAAACACTGCCGGAAAAGACTATCAGCGGCGATCTCTCATATGAAAACAAGTCACAAGTGGGAGGATCCGTAAGGCCGAGCATACTTGAAACCTTCTCTGACTCAGTTCCGTGGTGACTCGGGTGTTCACACTAAATCAAAGAAATTAGATAGAGGCGAAGTGAAGTGTACTGATAGGACAGACCTCGCACAGAGGAAAAATGTTTTCCCCTTGTTGGGACCTGGCTTGTGGATGGTTTTCTCCTTCACGGGATCACCATGTACGAAGCAATTTGGTGGTTGGATTGGAGCCATCAGCTGCGACCACGCCGCTTTGCTGCGCGAAGCCGAATCTGAAGGCGTGGCTGAGGCGAGCAAGCCCTGCAAAAGTAGATTTTTGAGCGAAGCGGAAAGCTCAAGTGTGAGCTGATTGTCGGAGTCTATGTAGTCCTGGTGATCGGGAACGTCACCTGATGAATTTCCCTGGCTGCAAGGTGGCGAGACTGATGGCTGCGCAAAGAACGAGAGAGTTTGCTTTGACTGCCTTCAATTTCTTGGGCACTTTCGTGGCTGGACTGTCTGATGACTTGCATTTGGCAGAACTATCAGGGGGCACTGTTTAGTGTGACGAAATGGGATTGGACTGTAGTTTAGGTGGTGATACAAGCAGCTGACTCGTGGTGGGCATGCTAAATTTTGTAAGCTCAGCGAGGGATGCATTGGAGGTAGAATACCAACGGCAGGCCACGTGTGATTGGGCTGTGCAGCATCAGAATGTTTCCTGGGTAGTGGCGTGTCCGGAGTAAGCAAAAGCGACGAAAGTGAAGAATTGTTGGGTGAACGAAGCACATTCCCATTCCCAGAAAATGTGGACAGTAGCATCTGCTTCCCAGAATACTCTTCCCATCGTCGTCCTGCGAGCCGAGGCAGGTCTTTCCGATTCCCGTCCATTGGCAGGATGTCCCCGAGATAATTGTTCGCTAGCATCAGTTATTATTTCGTCTTGAAGATCAATATATATTGGACAGTGATCAGAACCTTTGAGCGATGGCTGAATGTCTCCGTGCTTGATCCAGGGGAGCATGCCCGAATGCAGTCAACCCTGAGACACATACAGGTGGAGATAGTACTCCCCAGTTGCTGGGGTCGCATTCCCAGGCAGAACCTGCAGCACAGTGAGAAGCACGAATTAACAACGAAAAAATTGGCGACGAGAATGATCTGAGACGGCCGCCGTCACAATGCACGGAGGTCAAAGAAAACAAATTCACGCACCCGGAACACACCCTTCCAGTTGTTCGGAGTTCTTTCCTGTCAATAACTTTATCAGGACGCCAGATTAGTACCAATCACGCTTTGGGTCGGTTTTGTTTGATTTGGAAATGGTGAAAGTCCACGGAGTTCATTTTAAGTGATTGGTAGAAACAGGAACCATATGGTAACCCCGAAAGATAAAGATTTAGGGGGCTTGCCTCGTTGGATGAGGTGGATTAATGATCAGATTTGGCGGGCCCAGCCGTGCATGAGCAAGCAAATGTTGTCATGGTGGCGTTTATGAACTTCTGAGGGTCATAACCTGGAAATATGCCACTTCTGCCTCACATTTCTCTGCACATCGCCATTAAACACTGGACGCTCGCATCAAGTCCGATGATCCTATACTCTCATTGCTATGATCCTGGTATTTTTTTAAAAATGTATTTTGAGAATGATTCACATCAGCGAGTCTCACGATAGCATGCTGTCATCTCAATCATTCCTCACTGAGATATCCAGCGTATGAATTTTGCAATTTGCCTCCAAATCACGACTTCTGCATGTGATGCTCACCTAGGCCATTCTGCCGCATCTGAAGCATATTTCAGAGCCTTTCTTTAGTACCCCATTTCAACATCAAAACTAAGATCCGATCCTTGCACCTATAATACCCAGGGACGATCACTGCAGCCAACGCACTAGTCTATCATATTTTGCGGTACGTCCTTCAGTAAAGCAATTTTGATCATTCTCACTTATGAAGGCACTGGAGCAGCAGATCCTTCTCGCTCTTTCTATGACACGAACTCAAGTCCCTATGCTCGAAGCGAAGCATTTACAGATGTGAGACGAAAAGAGACTGATGTCCTGGGCGAGCTTAGCAATGAGGCATCTTCAGACAACAGTTAGTTGTTCCATGCAACAAGCATACACTACTAATAATATTTTTAGATGATAACCTTCCCTCTGATTTTTGAAGACGACCAAGACGTCCATGAGTGGTCGCGACCGCATTACTTCTCAGCTATGAAAGCAATGACCTTACAATTCTCATACCAGTTGGAGTGCTGGAAAAGTCTATCTATGCGTTTTGGTTCTCCTCGTTGGTTTGCAGTCTAGCAGCCGCAGTGAACAGTCTCCTCGGTCTCCCCTGGAAGCAAACTATGTAGTAAGTCTATCATCGTCCTGCCAGTTCCCGTGTCTAATGAAAGTCATTCAGTCGCTCTTCGGGACATAGGGCACTTCCTTCACAGTCAATCAGAAGAAGGCTCAAACACAGGTTCGTCGTCTATGCTGTCCTTTTCCTACCTTCCATTAGCGCTTGCACCAATGTCATCCCTCCCGTTGTGTAATATGTGCCATCCATCCTGTTCCATTCAAGTCGAGTTTGGTCGCTTTGCTCGTTGCGTATTAGCTGTTGTCTCATTTGTGCTGTCTTCTTTTCTTTCATTTCATTTCATTACTGATGTACTACTAGTATGTGTGTGTCTTGCCATAGTCCAATGCAAGACTCGTTGATTATTCGACATGTTTCGCGCTGTTCACCAATCTCATGGCATCTCTGGTGCGATACAGGCATGTGTGACTTACTGATGTTCGTTCGATCAACACAAATGTTTCTGATGCGCTCCTCTGATGCTCAACTACTTGTGCTCCTTATTAGATCTTCATCCGTTCTCATATGTGCCAATCTGCGTCTTCTCTGCTTCCACTGATGAGGAGCTCATCTCATTCACACAGGCAAACGTCACGGCACCTCAGCAGGATGTCTACTTGCCGCACAAGCACGGAAGAACAACGCACTTCTATTACCTCCCGTCCTCCTTCTTGGAGGCAATAACATTTGGTCAGTTCAAGAGACCGGACGTGAAGCTTCTTACCCAGTCAGCTAATTACCGGCTCAACACTGAATTGTACACCACACTGCTCGGACGCTTGGCAAATGTTCGGTGAGTATGGTTTCATTGCTACACCGGCATCCAAGCTAACTCTCCGCCAGCTTTGGTATGTCAGCCCGATTGCTGGGAAGTTGTCAATACCTTTTTGAATTCAGCTGATACTCTGGAACAAGGGAAGGCCTGGCGAGTCTGGGGATGTTCTTATTCCATAAGCGTTACAAGTGAGGCTTGAGATGTGCGAGACTATCCAGAGGGTCAGGAGATGGCTGCGAGGCCTGAGAGCTTCCTAGTCTAGGCTTAAGGGCTGTGAGGCCCGGGCTCAATGGATAATGGGGTCTGAGAGTTATATAAATAAATGTGATGTAGCTAGTACAACTAAGCTTCATTGTTACTTCTAGGACTCGGAATTCCTAAACCATCCCATATCTTAGGAAGATCAGAGAGGTCAAGCCTTACGAATTGTAAATTGTGAACCTTTGCAGATAGCTTTATCCACGAAGCAGGAAAGCGCTCTTTGAGGTCTTCAAAATACTTTGTAGCTGCTAACTCACACCCATCAAAATGTTCCACTGAGTTTATATCAGCCGAGTTGAGCAAGTCTCAGTAGTATCCCAGCGACCATTCTTTGACTGCTTTGATGATCTAGATAATATCATTGTAAATTGAACCTCAAAGCCGGAAACAACTTACCAATGTTGCTGCCAGCCCACCCGACTTGGGGCTATAACCTAATGGCGGTGGAGAACTACCCACAGATGGCCTGGATGTTCCAAACAATAATGAGTGCATCACATTACATTGGACTTGGTCTCCGATGGTCCCCTAGAATGTATGAGTGAATTTGCCTACCAATGTAGGAGAAGGAGTCTTACATTTTTATGGGTCATATAGGGCACTCTATCTAACACATTTTGTACCGCCATTTGAGATTGGTCTGGCTCCCTTGCCTGCAACCCTAGTAGGTAGGCAGAAAGGACCTGAAACCTTGCTTCCTTGAAAGCTATCAACTCATTTTTGCGTGATGCAAAGATGTGAGAGGACGCAAGTATATGACACATAGCTTCATCTGGGATACCAAGACCATACAGGGCCTGGAGAGCTTGGCTTGTGACAATATAGCCTTTAGCACGATCAATTGTCATCTGCAATGATCATGGAAGGTCGAAGTCCTGTCCATAATGTGTGTTGCCTGTCTGTCGAGAATGTTGTGCTTGCTGGTCGAGAAGACAGTTTGGAAGATTATCCAACTCGGTCAAGGATGGTAAGAATTTGCGAAGCATGCCGGTTGTAAGATTGTGAAGTAAGGTGCCAGTTAATGTAATGGGAAGGGAGTGCATATACTTTTGCAGAGAGGCATTGACATCAGTCCCGTTCCACAGATTCCCTGCCTTTTTACGTTTGGGGATTGTATGTACAAAAATGTAGATGCTGTGTTCCTTGGCGTTACTGCGAAGAAGCCCAAGAAGCTTGGAGAAAACTGGTCTGAGGACACCAAAATAAAAGAGAACTGGAGTCATCAGAGAACTCGGGAATGCCCACAGGCATTCCTGGACGCCTATGCCCAATTGTTTAGCGGCAGGATTTGCCAAAGCAAGTACGCCCCAAACAATGAATAGGTTCCGCTCTCTGCCAGTGTCTGCATCCAAATCATATTGGAAGGATTTGAGTTGGAAGGGCCGAGGAGGAACACCACAGGAAAGATGGAAGGCCATATTAAAAAGGGATAGAATGTTCTGTTCCCTATCTAAAAGTTTTTTGATCGCTTTTTCATCTACTGTTCCATTTCTGCGTATAACTCCCAATCCTGCTCTGCCCTTGTTGGCAGCGACTAGCTGATCATAAAGTGTCTGAACCAGGGGCTGGAGTAGGGGCTGATTTTTCTGTTGCTGAAAAATAGACTGTCGGCAACCCAGATCGTCTGTAATCTCCAGCGTAGAGAACTCTTCATAAAGTGTTCCGCAATGGCTAGGAAGCACACTTTGAATAGTGGTGGTAAAATTATTGATGACGTCTCTAGCAATAGAGCCAAGCTGATTAAATTTGACCACATGGAAGGTACTGGTGGAATCTGGAACGTTGACTGCTTGGCCATCAGCGGAAAATGTGGATCCATAATCACGATGTTCGGTTCTAGCAGTTTTCGCAGCCTTCAACCATACAAACTTGAATCGAGTATATGGCATTGAAAATGTCATAGACTCCACTGGAGGATGAACAAAGATTTTGTTTTCTGATAGTAAACTGTTTAAATTGTCAGGGTCTAAACACCCTAAAGTTACTACAAAGGTTCACACACCGTAAAATTGATACTTCTCCCTCAGGGCGTTTGTCTTCATTCAGCATGAAAAACTTTTTTGATGGTGCCTTCAGTACCCCATTTTCTTCATCTAAGGGTAGACAGTCGCCAAAGTGCACATCCACCATATCCAGCATAAGATTTTGCTCTTCTTCATCCTCTTCATCCTCATCCTCATCCTCTTCCATCCAGACTTCAGGGTCAACTGCAGTAATGATTAAAAACCACTGGAATGAATTGAGTGCTGTCCTATCAGATTTTAAGGTGTTGGGTCTTTGAACTTTCCCACACTCAATTCTTGTTGGATTGTTTTGTACCTTTAGACCTATGATACTGAATGCACTTCCATGCTGCCTATTCGCTTGCCTCACACTTCCACATCCTGAGAGTGCACATAGCTACATATATATCTAGAGGACTCAGGTCAATTTGGACTTACTTACTGTCCCTTACTTGGACTCAGTATCTGTCTTCTGCCGAGTTTGCGTGCAGAGCGCTAATATCATCACTGATTATGTCTATCATCTTCTTAGCCTCATCAAGACTTGTCTTCCATATTCCTAAGGACCTCTACTGTTTGCTGCCACTGACATTCCACTTCACACATATTGCACGCTAGCCACCTCCTTCTGCATATTTCATGCATCACATGTGCACGTCACATATACATCATGCATCATTGTGCACCTTTGCATATCTTTGGCTTATCACCTATTACAATAATATGATCAGACCAACCCCCCTATCTTTTTCTCCCACCTTGTACTGCTTTATGATGTTTCTATCACCTTCTTGTACATCATCATTTATCACTGCCTTATCTTGTATCTCTTATCTTGTGCCCTGTACCCTTACCTTTGATTCAGTAGCCCTGCCCTGAAGTACTCTTTACCTATAAGTAGTTGATCTGCTTGTCCAGTAGTCTCTAACTTGAATCTACTCAGTATTCTGATAGACCTTCCTTGAGTAGGATCACTCTCGTATTACTTGACTCTACTTGGACTCTTCGTTCCTGTATCTGATACTCGATCAATACCACTTAGCCTTATATTGACTTGCCGACTCTTGTCACCAAATCTTGATACCAACGATACAAACGACCCTCTGTTCTATCGACCTTTCTCTTGAGACTTAGCTATTCTACTTAGCTATTCTACTAGCTCACCTCTCGAGGTATATTTCCTTGTGACTCCCAGAGTTCACAGTCCTATTTCCTCACCCACATCATCATTCGCGATACACATCTTCAATACATACCTATGATTTCGGACACTCATTGACTGAAGAATGAGTGCATACCAATGAGATTACTCGCCTATGTGCCATAGGCTCCGTGTTACGCAAAGGAACACTTCAGCAAATCATATTTTCTATCAATATTCATGAGGTCCATTGGGCTGCTATTGAGGTCAATGGTGTCAATTGAAACATCTCATATGCTGACACTCTTAGGTGGAGTTTTCCTACTCACAACATTAACACCATTTGTCATTGGCTGAGCTGTCACGGCCTCTCTGGATTTAACGAGGCAAACACGCTGCAGCATGGCAAACAGCTGGATGTGTTTTTGTGCGGAATAGCAGCCATCAACACAATCAAGCACACTGTGTTTCATGATCCTCTGTTCGATAATGACAGAGCATTCTCCCTCTGCATGGACGAGTTTCTGGATCTTGCTCATGATCATCTCGAGGTACAACTATCTCATGCTAAGTGATGTAATGTCATTGAGCATTGATTTTATAGCTCTCAGTTCCTGGTGACGGCATTGATATATGTAACAGTTCAGACATCGACAATGGCAGTGCCTTCAAGTTTGACTCAGATGCGGAGACACTGGAGAGCAGGGACAATTTTACCCCTGCAAAGCCATTATCCCTGCAGAAAAAACCCAAACTCAACCTCCATACTACTGATGCAGACCAGAACAAAGGTCTGTTCAAGTTCTTCCCACAAATATCACGCGAGGAGCATCTACATCATGCTTGGAACCCTTTTGCTTGGGAGCTCAGGGATAAGGAGCAGGACCTTTATCAGCAAGAATTTGAGAAGTTTGAGAAGGCTCCTCACACATGTGAAAGAGCAGCAGAGTGAAAGAGAAAACAGCGAGCACATGAAAAAGTCGCTAAGCAGGTAAGCATATGTCTTCTTTTCTCTTGTCTTAATGGCTCACATGTTCTGTCCTCAGAAATTGAAACCTCTGGCTCCGTTGATTCTGTTCTTCACGACAGCAAACCTCCGTCACCAGTGTATCGCGGAGGCATCACGTCCATATCACCAATTGCAAAGGCATGCCTGCACGAAATAGACATCCAACCTAGGCCGCAAGCGCAAGTGGGAGGACATAGATGCTTTATGCATCAACTGGCAAAGCCCCCTGTTATCGCCAACTATTGAAATGGCTGCTCCCCATGTTGGCTATGGTATGTCGCCAGTGCAGATTGAGTGTGAGCTTCAACATATCGACCACACTCACTTTGGCTGGATCCATGCGCAAGTTATAGGAAGCTGGATTGACCATAGTGGGACACGACCAGCATGGCATAGCATTGTCCTTGCTCGTGTTCAAAAGGGCAACCTTCCCTTAACAACTGCAACACCACCAACCATCCTCACAAAGTATCCTGAAGTCACAAAGACCATTATTGAAGATCTCCGTGCTCTGCGTGCAGTTGGTGTGGCTTTGGACACAATACATTGTCATGGTGTAATCATTGCTCACCTCACGGTCTCTTGCCCAGAAATCTTCGAGGCCACTGCCAAGGACAGCTCAAAATTCCAATGTACTGAGTCTTGGGTCAAGAAATTTGTAGATCGGACTGTCAATTGGACATTCTGTCGTGCCACACAAGCTGCACAAAAGACCCCCTTCCAATGCTGATCAACTCTGTCTGGACCAATTTTATTGTCTGACCTTAACTATCCGGGATTGTGTGATCTTCGATGCTTCACGTCAACATTGACCAGACCAACATCATGTATCAACCTGTGAACACCACTGCATATGAAGAAGTCGGTTCCAAGCAAGTTGCAGTGATTGCACAGGGGGAAAACCAAGCATTCATCGTGCTCGTTGGCATATCTGCCTCTGGGGATGCTCTCCCATTCCAGGTCATCTATTGTGGCAAAACAGCTCGTTCACTCCCCTCGAAAACCATGCTGCAATTCACAGACGCACAAGACTTGGGCTTTAAGCTCTGCTTCTCCAATACCAACACCTATTGGTCAACATTCGAGCTCATGTGTGATTATGTTTGCAATATTCTAGATCCCTACTGGACAAAACAAAAGGAGCTCATTGGGGCTCCTGATGACCAGGAATGTATCCTACAGCTGGATGTTTGGTCAATACACAAGTCCGTGCAGTTTTGCACTTGGCTTGATCAACAGTACCCATGGATCAAGTACTGCTTTGTTCCTGGTGGCTGCATCAGAATCACTCAGCCATGTGATGTTGGTGTTCAATGCCCATTCAAGCTTACTGTCAAGTGATCTCAACATGCTGATATTGTCGAGGAATCATTGTCATTGCTGAAGAAAGATGAAGATGTGCATGTCATTCGACTTAACACAACATTACCCACACTCCACGATAGATCTTTACAGTGGCTCATCAACGGTTACCATGCTATCAACAAGCCTGACGTAGTCAAACAGGTATGTCACTCATACTGTCCTCATTTTTCTCGCTGATGACTTGAAACACTCAGTCATTTTTTCAGTGCAAGGCTGGCACAGCATTGAACCTCTCTTTTGAGAGCCACACCAGTCGTGAAGCACTTCATGCACTGTGTGATGTGCAGAAAAATGACACCATGACTTGGGAGCGTATCAAAACAGCTCAATACAAGACCCCCAATGCTGGCAAAGAAGTAGAGCCACCTTTCCCACATGCCATGGATGTCAAGCTTGATCCTAGTGATGTTTCTGTGGATACTGTTCTGCAACACATTGCATTGGGTGAATCATCTGTCCCTCATGGCTATAGCGCTGACGAATTGGGCAATTTGCTGGTAGACAACAAGTCAGAGAGCTATGAGCGAGAAGTGCTAGATGACATGACAGGGCTTCAATCTATGGCTGATGGGTCTAAGGAGGTTGAGGCCAAGGGTCGTGGCAAGCAGAGGCATGTTGCAAACACTCAGTACAAAATGTTTTGGATGCATTAGATGGTTTTTCATATTTTTACCGCTTGTCACACTTTAGCTTCGACGGCCCCAAAATTGGTGTGACAGTCACATGAAATAGCTTTGATTCGTCACCTGACCTTCCCAATAAGTAAGCTTTACTATGCTGAGCGATTATGTGTATGGCCCAGTATTATTAGGCTTAGTTATCATAATCCTCAACACCAGTGTTAAATCATGTCCTATATCCTCCTATACTATTAGGTGTTCTACAGCGGGAGGCTCGGCAACACCCTTTAACTGTTTGGCACTGTATCCCGCCTGAAATCGCTCTCCCACGCCCACTGAGCTTTCGGCAAAGGTACACATTCCTCCCTGGCGGGATTCTCACGCCTCTTGGTCTTGCTCATCGTCATTGCCAGTGCCGTCTCATCCTCCTCAGCCCCTGTGGCACTATCTGAGGCCCTTATCCCAGTCTTACCAACTTGTTGACGCCATCGCAAACCTCTGGGCGCCCTCCTGAGCCTCTAGAGTTGCTACCCTCCTGCTGCGGCCCACCTGCCCACCTCCATCTTGCCCTCCCGCCCTCCCGACCTCACCATCTAAGCCATCTAGATGCCCTCAAACATCTAGACATCTCCCTTAGCCTTTAGAAGTTGCGGCCCTCCTGCCATCCTACCGTCCTTCCTTCCTCAGCATCTGCGGCATATCTCCATCCTTTACATCCTAGCTGTTATACTGGCTGACCGCCGAGGATGCTCCTGTACTTGGTCTGTTTTTGTGGTGGCTAGGCTAGTACCACTGTTATTGTATTGTGTGCGTATGTTTCGTTTTCAAGGTAGCCTCCTACACATGTTGATGCCCTCCTCAGCCTCTAACATTGCTGCCGTGTTACCCTCCGCATGCCTAGTAGAACGTGCTACTCTTTTGTGTTTGGTTCGTTTTCACAGTGGCTACCATCCTCGTATAACTACTACTACTACAATCAATGTATTGTTTGACAATGCTTTTGAATCCAACTATATTCCTCATTCCCTCGATTTGATTTGTCAACAGAAAGGACTTTGTGTATATTTGACAGGCAAGGTGACTACTAGTAAGGTCTAAAAGTTCATCAAGTCTAGCGCAGATTCATAATTTTGATCTAGATTAGCCAAAGCTTCATCAAAGTTGAATTCAGATGACCCTGAGCTCATGGATGGACCAGCGCCAATGCTACCTGCAGGCAAGATGCTCGACATGCTAACTGCATCGTTGTTGATGAATTGACCAAGACCGCCGGCTGTTGACGTGAGCTCAGGTGAAAGCAAATTTGGGATAGTGGGAGAGGTGGATGGTGGATTTGGGATAGTGGAAGGAGTGGATGACGTGAGCTTGAGGGTTGTTGTATGGCCAGAAGGGGTAGTATTAACAGGAGGTGTATCCTCGCGGGGGGAATCCAATTTGTCATCACTTACGACAGTGGCATTGCTCTTATATGCCTTCCTGTAATGACCAGAATTGTCGGAAGCCCCACGTTTCTTCCCTTTGTCTGAGCGGGTCCAGCGGCGTTCATCGACAATGTCTCCGCTGTTGACCTTCTCACGATGTTCTTGACAAAGTTTTTGTACTCATCTTCTTCCAGGTGCCTCCAACAGATTTCACCAGCTTCCCACTTATCCAACAGCATCTCCAAATCAGGTAGGGCGCTGGATACATTGCTCAGGTTAACGAAAGGTATATTGTCGGGCCAACCTTCAATGACAACAAGGTAGCGCTGGACGACACTCCGCCAGTAGTTCGCCCAATGCATCCACGCTGACAGATCCTGTGTGATCACCTCTAGAAAATTTGTTGTAGTTAGTAATATAAAATAAAATAAAATACAAAGAACTTATGGAGTGTCCTGTTGATCTCATGGTGGATTGCGCTCCGAACATCTGAGGTGAGTTGTTTATGGCTTCTTGCAGCGCCTGATAGATGCAGTCAGTGGAGAGCAAGTTTTTGATATAAAAATGATCCCTACCTTTCATACCCTGAATGGCAAACCCCTCCATCTTACTCACAAGATCCTGGTTGTCGATATTCATCATGGAGCCCATGAACTCATCAACACCTTCAGTTGCAAAGGCAACACCGTGGAGTGGGAGATCTGTAGAGCCACATGTCGCGTAGAAGATAGTCTCAGCACCTGTCCATGTCCGCAAGTTGTTGAGCTGGTAGCTGTGTCAATAAGTAGTAGCGAAATAAATAAATAATGACTTGCCTCATTCTCGACAGCCTTGAGTGTCTGTGTCACGTCATTGACCTTCAATTTTGTTGAGATGCAGATGCCAGTCGTCTTCGTTTCCTTGTGCTCGCTGTACTCCTGCAAAAGCTGCTCCTTCTTGTCCTTTGTAAGGTCGCGATATTCAGCACGGTTCTCGTCACTGACGAGCTCTTGCAACACAGCCTTGCCCGTGGCCCCTTGACAAGTCATCAGTTTGTGCATGCTAAGGACAGAAAGACACTTACCATTCTCCTTGTCTTCATGGCGCTTCTTCCAGCAGAAGGTGTTCCATGTGTTTAACTTTGAACATTGGTAGCGTAAATCCCGCGACCCATGCACAGGTCATTCTGGATGCGGTGGAAACTCTTATGATGCGAGGACACAATAGTATTCACCGTCTCCTCGAGCTCATTCCAAGCACTGTCAAGAGCCATCTTATTGACGGGATTTATCGTGATGTTGGGAAGTAAGTGCAGCACGTGCTTCCTTGCTGAGGGTCACCTTTGGACAACAAGGAGGCTGCACTTGAACACGCCTGCGACTGTTTGTCGCCATGAAGGTGTGCAAAACCATCAGAATGGTAAAATTCATCTTGTTGGTGAACAGCTTTTATAAGTCAACAGCAAATACAAATTTACAGTGCTAAAACAACCAATGGAATGCAACACATCGGGTGATCTACGAAAAGAACAGGTAAAACAAATAAATTGCGCACAAGAAACTTAGGCCGCCAACTACCCTGAAGAAGTACGAAACAAATGTGAGAGGCGGCTGTGAATGACGATAGAATCAGCGAACTAAAATGCATTAAAGGTGATTGAAAAAACCTTTTGATGATCCTGCTGAAGGTCCACAAGGAGCGCTCTAGCCAGATTGGACGCCTGTTCATACATCAGATCCCATTTCAGGGATCAAAGCACTGCCTCCCAGCGGCTGTTACAAACAGATCGGATGAGTTTGTGAAGCCTGTGAAGTACTGCGTCATCCATATTGAAACGATCCAGTATGGCATCTGTGTGTGGGCCAAGGCTAATTAGCGGTGCTTCTTGCATTTCAAGTCTAGGAGCCATTGGACCCTTGGCCAAAAATGTGTTAGCAGGCTGACATTGTCGGATCTTGTTAGGTGGTGTGTTGGAATCTGTAAGTGCCATACTTCTACCCTCCCGAATAGCAGAGGAGGACACCATGTTGGACTTTGCATTGGCTTGAAGATCATGCTGGAACTGCTGAGCAGGACGCGCAGAACAATGAATGCGGGAACCTGTGACAGCCATAGGTGCCGGAAAGTGTGGGACCGCAGCTGGATTGATCTGACTTGCTGGGTCTTGAAAAAAAAACATAAAAGAGTAAATCAATTCCAGGTTGCAAGAGAAAAGGTGTAAACTTACAGTGGTGAGGAGGGACAACACCTTTAATGCGGCAGCGCTCTGTGAAGCACTGCAAATGTGGAACTGCGAACTCTTCACTAAAAGCCTGTACCAAGACAGATATATCTCCTCCAATGTGGTCGGGAGTTTCATCTAATTCACGCGGTGTGATATAAACGTCAACAGAGAGATGCTGTGGCAAAAGAGTCGGTGTAGCTTCAGAGCCAGGGAAACAAATGAGGAGGGAGATCCCGCCATCGAGACAGTCCTGCACTGCGATCTATCGCCCCCCATCCCATTAGCATCCAGATAGATAGGACATAATATTTATTACTCACTGCATCAAAAAGGTCCTGCAACGCCGCCTCAACAACTTCTTCATGTGTGAAAGACTTCTCGTCCAATGTGGTTAGGCAATAGCATGGGTAACCTATGGGTTGCTACACGCTAACCCGTACTCGTACCCACCACCCAAGGGTACTGTGGGTCATGGGTTATGTGATGGGTCGAGTGGGTTTCTGTGGGTCAATGGGTCACCCATGAGTAGCACCACAAAATCAAGGTCACCATATGGTATAGACGGTCAGGGTAATGTACATTCAGTAAGAGTACTATATATCAAACCAGAATGGCATTCCATCCATCTTCCAGAGCCTCCTCGTCACCTTCGACATCCGGTAACACTGCAACGCCAAGCACATCAGTATCTTTTACTAGTCCCATGTTGCTCCAGCAGCCCAGACACAACAATGCTCGAATTGACTGCGACGAGAGCCGGCTGCGGACATGCGAAAGCAGAAGGCGGCCCCAACTAAAGATTCATTTGACATTGACAGATGTTGCTACACCGTACACTTAGCAGCGATCATTAAAATTAAAATGTGCCACGTACCAGGAATTGTAAGGTAGTCAAGTGCCATGCAAGACAAGCACAGATACGTAGTACGATGTTCATGCCACCAGGCAAGGACATCTTTTGTGTGCTCCATCTTGGCACCCAGATAGGATTCGAGTTCATTTTGCACCTGCAAAATTTTTGGAGGAGCAAGGGCAGGGAGCTCGTCGAAAATGTTTGAGGCCTCAATGAAGTGCTATCAATTAGTTGCGAGAATATAATGGAACAAGGCATACCACATACCTTAGTAGTAATGGAAGTCTCAACAGTCTTGATCTCTGGCCCTGCATCCACAACGATCCTAGAATAGTGGAGATTAAATTCGTCGTGGACGAGTTTCTCAGCGGTTTGGATCCAGTCGGCAGGCCATCCAGTGGTTTGGAAATATGAGAGCTTGTGGTGTGGTGAGCGAAAGTGATTCCGTGTAGCCTGTTAGTGTAGACTACCGATCCATTTGAGTGCGAGTATTATAGCTTGTCCCAAGGGGATTGCTACTGAGGGAAGTCTTCGCAATAAATGCAAAGGAATCAATCTGACGGGCTTAAGATCTGAGCGGCCGGTGAGCGATGGGAGATCCGATGTGAGAGGAAGATGTCCGGACGGGAACGATTCTGATGGGACGGGTATCTAGTGGTACAGATTTGTCAAGGTGTCGAGGTAGCAAGGTATCGAGGTGGCAAGGTGTCTAGGTGTCGAGGTCTCGATGTAACGAGCTACCGGAAGTGATCCGAGGAACGGGAAGAAGTCCGTTGCGGTACGGAAGACTAAGGGGACTTGTTGATCACACCAACTTAGATAGAAAATCCAAGGGAGTAAAAGGAAGTAATATTGGCAGAGTACGATGCAACTATTTATCTTAACCCGTAAGAACTCGGGATCCGTTTAAGCGACGGTAGTATAGGCGAGTCCATAGCGCAATAATATGTAAGGGATGGTAAGCGGCCTCATGTATGGGAATGTACATGTAAAACAGTCTGCTGCTTGATCAGAGTGATAAAAGGAGAGAAATGACGCACCAATGGGGATGGATGGACATGGATGGACAGGAACGAGGGGCAATTGAGGGAATCCGTCGCGGGTTGCGTATCCGTTAGGTGTCCGGGAGGGACGGGAGTCGACGGAATAGGCTGGATGAGCGTGGACATGAATACCTGACCAGGTGAGCTCCGGATCGTGCATAACGGGTGATTGTGAGGCTGGCGCTGGAATGTTCGGTACAGCGGGTGCAAGACTACATGGGATTGAGGTATTGTTTTAGCATGAAAATCAAACTCACCCATGGCGATCTGATAAACTTCGGAGCTGTCAGTTAAAGAGTAGTACCGGTCCAGTGTTTTCTTTCCAAGTGAGAGTGCAGTGCGCACAGAACCATTGAGTGATTCGTCAGACTTGTGAGATGTCAGGATCTCATTGATATGGTCAATGGCAGGGATGACGGTGGCTAGATTGGGGGTTGCACACGAGAAGAATGTGGTGGCATCCTTAAACACCTGTGGAGTAGTGGAGTATAATTATTATGTCAGCAAACACACGACAAATGACATCAGTGTGACTTTACCTTCAATATCTCACACAGTTCAGATGTGCTGTCCCACTCTGCCTCAGAGAGCTCCAACATCCTCAGGTTATGCTCCCATTTTGCTGTCATTTCCTCCAGGGCTGGCTGATAGTCAATCACAAACCAAAGCATTTCAAATGTGGAGTTCCAATGTGTTGCTACGTCACGTGGCATAATTCTAACGGTGCGTTTTTGCTTTTGCAGTAATAACTTCCAAGCCGGCAGCAAAATTGTGGAGGAGTGAATGATTTTGAAGGTGATTTTGCGGAGTTTGGGTGGGTGAGGGTGGTTTTCAGTGAGTGGCCTGATTTACTATGTGTAGCACTTACCTTGACAAGCATCACTTTGACTGGACGCATACTTTGCATCAGATCTGCACGCTTGTCAGCATCCATCGTTTCCATCTCGTCAACCCACCCCCTTCAACGTCATCATCAACATCTCCTTCATCTCCATTATACCAACCTGCGCTCATGAGCCCATCTACACTATCATCACCACTATCATCACCGTCCCCGTCCTCTACTGGTAAGTCATCATCGATGTTGGCCTTTGTTGAATCAAATTGTTTGAGGATAGATTTCGCCACGAGGTTGATGATGTGTAGAAAGCATTGAGTGCGCGTTGGCGCCCCGCTAAAAGATTGAACAAGTGTTTCGAGGTGCATGGTCATTGTATCGTTGGCGGCTGCATTGTCTGCAGTGAGACTTAACATCTGAGATGGAGGTAAGTTTTCTGCGACACTACAAATATCAAACTACCACTGACCTTTTCTGATATCCCATATTCCTCAAGAATATTTGCAAATGCAGCCGCGAGGATAGCACCAGAGTGGGACTGTGTCCCTTGAGTCAATGTATCTATGTAAGTGTTCGAAATTTTACCTCTGGAACTTCCACGATGTCTAACACCATTGCAATAGATACTCTTTCATGTTCAAGATGTACCGAAATGGCCACGAAGGTCTTATGGTTAGGTGATGTCCAAGCATCAGTCGCAAAATTCAAGTGTCCATTATATTCCTGGTGAGTCCATGTTATTTTTTCTGACTTAATAATACTAATACCATTCTTACCTGCAGCATTTTCGCAATACGCTGGCGCGTTCGCACAAAGACCAACTTGACGTCACGTGAGACGGTTGATGGCAATGGTATGTAGTATTTAGGCCGACTGGTCTTCATCAAGGATAGGAAGGCCCGGTCCTTAACGATATCAAATGGACGGGCACTCTCGCACACCCACCGAACTATCTCTGCCTTTGTTTTGGTCTTGGTATGCTGCCGATGGGATTAGGTAACTTTCCCTTTGCCTTTGTGCTCAAACAAAGCCGTTATTGACCCATTTGTCAGGATTCCGTTAACGATCAACTCGTGAGCAACATCACAACTCTTGGTGTCATCTGCGGCTTTGACTACTTCCTCTCCCCAGCAGGTACGTGCATGTTTGCGCATGTTACTAGTCGACTTAGCATCCTTCTTGTCTAGGAAGCGTCAAATTCGTTTTCCACATCCTTTTGCAACACACCGGAACTCGTAGTATCTCTGTCCGTTCTCATGTCCAATGACAGGAAAGGGCTCGAAAAAGGCATAGATGGGTGAGAGCCACTCTTTGCTCAAGCGCTCTACGAAAACAATATTGATTAAGCTATAATCTCATGTGCAGGGTACTTACTCATTTCAGCCTCGGCATCCTCAGTAGGAGACTCAATACCACTCTCTGACTTGCTACTACTGATTTCGATGATTTCGGCATCACTATAGAGTGCTTCTTCCTCGTCTTTGCTGCGAACAATGGTTCGTGTGTTTTTGATCCTGTTAGGGGCAGGTTTTGATAAAGGCTGGACCAGACTATCTTCGCTGTCACTCGGAGCAGCAACAGGGCTTTGTTTAGCTTTTCCGGAGGTAAGTTCATCACTTCATTTACGTTTGAGAGTCTTCTTGATGGCCTGTAGGTATTCCCTGGCCTTCTCCGTGGGCTTCGGTTGACGCTTGCCAAACATTGGGAGTGATTTGACTAAAAGGGGAGGGTGATGATTATAGTTTAGGCAATGTAGAATAAGGTTTATATCATGTTTAAGGTTCGAGTACAGTTTAATATTACATAATTTGAACTTGTACCACACCCCTGGTCTGGGGGCTGCTATACCTGTCAACCCACCAGGTGGGTCATGGGTTGATGGTGGGTCACTCAAAGCATACCCATACCCGACCCACCAACTATACATACCCATGACCCACGTGGGTTGGCCATACCCATGCTATAGCCTAAATGTGGTATACAAGTTGAAAGTGATGTATGAAGGATGAAGGCCAGTGGGTTTCCTTGTTTGAAGATGAGTGCCGTCGAGGTGGGTGTCGTGTCTGAGCAGTGCACGCGCAGCTGCCTGGTGTTCACCATTGCCAAATTCCTTAGCAAGCATGTCTGAGTTTAACGCAGCGATGCTGGCCAGCGAAAACCGAGGTGTTGCGCTGGGCACGTCGTTCATGATGGCAGGTGACAACCGAGATGGTGGTCCACCACGGAGTTGTGAGGGTGTGGATTTGACTTTTGAGGGGGAGAATACTCTTGAGTCCATGGTGGATGTTGGATTGTACCAAGGAGTACTGAAAGTGATTAGTGGTGCAGTCCGATTAAGTAGTATGGTGCTTAATACCAGTGAATGTTCAATGCAAGCCTGGCACATTTTGAACAACTGTGTGAGGATTGGGTTCAATAGACAATGATAATGAAAATCGTTAAGCACCTTCAGTGTGTGTGATCAAGTCGTGCTTACTATGAGCAGTTGCAGTGAAGTCAATTGGACTGGACTACCCAGAAGTTTAACTTGAGTGACACACCAATCACAACCCAATCTATTTGATCTAACACCTAATTTCACCATCTCTTGCAAGTTGCAACTGTCTCAATATCCTCAAATCCAATCGACACACTTCAGCGACCCACAGTCAGCCAACCACAACCCAATCTATCTGATCCACCACCTAATTTCATTGTCTTGATCTCTGCAACACCACTGTTAACCACACTTCAGCAACACACGGCCAACCACAACCCAATCTATTCAATCTCGAATATTTAAACTTGCCTACATAGTGCTTTTGGGTGTCCTCCGCATACCATATCATACCGATCCCCACTGTTTGCTCACCTCTGATCTCTATATCTAATTCTTACTGGACCTCCTCGTAGATTAGTTCAATAAACAAATGATCATTATTCAACATGAGTATGAGCACCGTAAATAAATACTAGTCTGTGACTGAGAGTAGATAGCTGGCAAAATCGTCTGTGACTTGTGCGTGATCCTCATCCTCAAGAACATCTCCACCATTCTCTTCAAGAGAGAGAATGTCAAAGTGAAGTCTCTCCTCGGAGCCCTCTGTGTCAATACCAGTCGTGGAACTGCCTACAAATTATCAATTAGTGAGGTAGAGCAACAAAGTCCGCACATACCAGCATTTGGAGATGAAACTATTACCTCCGGCTGGTCGTTCAGCGACAGTAACAGACCTGCAAGTTGGACACCAACACCACGTCTGCCCGAAAATCCAAGCTGCGACTCAAGTTGATTCAACTGGTACAGATGGATAGTGTTGATGGCGGCGCGTGCCTGCCACCGCCTTCTCAACTCCACAGCAAGTGGAGGATTCGCAACAAGGAGTTGTTCTTTGGTTGTGTTGGTCTTGATTTTCTCGTCGTGTATTGCCGTGCATAGATGACGGACTTCTATATCCAGACACTGTATTTCTTCACGAGCCCGTTGGAGCTTGAAGTATTTCACTGTGGCTTCATGGTGAGCAGGTGCGGTCCAGTCAGTGTCTCGAATGTCAGTATGTGAGTGACGCAATAAGTCAAATTCACCAAGAAAGTTGTATTTGACAATATCCTTCCATGCTAGTTTTGGCCTAGGTGGGAAGTGTCTGAATGTCATTGAAGGGCCTTCATAATCTGTTGACGTAGCTTGTAACCTAAAACACATGGCGCTGCAATCAATCCTAAAATACATCAATGACAACTGACTTACCTGTTCCTGAAAGCGAAAGCTTGGCCAGTTCAAATAAATGCATGATGACAAGGCGCTTGAGTTCATCAAGCGCTGAATGATACTTCAGAAGCAACCCTTCTTCTCGAAACCGAACATAATGTTCGCTTCCAATTTCCCACTGTTTGTCGATGCCAAGCTGAACCTCCAAATGACCAGCTAACTCCTCTGTGTTCTGGAGTTTTGAGTATGCCGTATTGACATGGACCCGAGCTTGGTTGAGAGCCAGGTGCATATTACTAAGGTTTCCAACGTGAATTTCGACAAGTGAGTGATAGGCTGCTTTTCGGGCTTGATTCCATTCCCGCCTCGATCAAATGATGAATAATGTAGCTAGCGTAAAAAAAAACAAAACACACTGGCGCTCAGCAAGCTTGTCGAGAACATTGATGTATTGAATACTGAGATGATCCTTGACCGGTGCCTGTTTCAGCCCTTCAAGATATTCATGCTCTGGCACGTGAAAATGGATAAAGTCGGTGTAGGAGACGCCCAGGCTGCAGCCCCGTATGGCACCATTCCCCCTTACTGGACGAAGTCATGCCTACCTTCCACAGGCCGTTGCGGACCATCACACGAGGTTGCGGAATCCACGCATCGCATCGCAACGTACCGTCCGTCCATATCCTGTCCGTATCTGTCAGTTCCCACTGGTGCGTTCTTATCTCTTATTACTGGATACTGATCATTCGCAGAACTATGCGCATACCGTTCCCATGCATGAGGTCGCATAGCGCTACTTACATATTATCCCCTCCGACTTCGCGTACATATGCGCTCGCTTATACAGTTCCGGTTTCTTACGGACTATGATATATACTACGTTGCGGACTCGTATCCAGTACTTTTCCTACATTCCCTCTCTGGTTGTGTGTTGCGGAGTCACTAGCTTAGTCTTACCTTGTCTTTCCTTGCTTGAGCAATCATCTGTTTGCCTTCTCATCTCGCGCAAACGCTCGCATCATCATCGACAGTTGGCTATTGCTAGATCCAGTTGAGTTCACTTGCAAGACAGTCCCGTCGCGTCCTGCATATACCTGGTACCTTACCCGTTTTACCTGTTTTCCTGTCCTGATACCTGGTACCTTCCCCGTCTCGCATACCTGGTACTCCCTAGACTTCGCATCCACATACTCCGCATCCCTGCACATCCTCGCACCTCTACGCATTCTCCCGCAAGCAGCTGTTCCGTCTCCAGCGCATCACTTCCCTACTCACTGTTCCCCTCGCTCATACTTGAGGAACTGCTCTCAGAGCTATCCCCTTGGGTCGACTACTATTCTCACACCCAGCAGGATCGGTACGCTATCACTATAGCGGACTTCTACGATTTCTCCCACATCGGCATCAGTAAATTTGATGGTTTCCCGAATGGCTGAGAGTTCTCCTGTAAGTGTTTGGATATTGGTCCTCGCCTCCCGATAATGGTTCCGCAAAAAAACACCTGGGCAGGGGCAATGTGTTTGGTCAAAAGTAGATATTTAAAAAAACTTACTTAAGGCTGCATACTTATCCTTGTCCCAAAATGTAAAATGCTGCTCGATCATTTGATGTCAGTGAAAGGTTGTCGAGTGCCGAGTACTTCGTGCGAGGTCATTGGATGAAGAAAAGATGTGTTCACATCCTTCGCCCTCTGTGTGTCCAGTGCCTTCGATATACATTGGATGCCAGTCTATCTGGCATCCTCGATTATGTGCATGGCCGTGAAACGCCCCTACCATCATCCGAAAGTTGAGGTCAGAAGCGCGCGGTCCCAAAGTACTGTTCCCAATGTGCAGACAACTTCTCCACAGGCTGTAGAGAATATGTTGGGTCTTGCTGGCCTATGCTAGTTCGACCCTAAAGGGTCTCTGCTCTAGGCTCAGTGCTCAAGGAGAGAGAAACAGACAGGAAACAAGACAAAAGGACAGGGGACTTTCAGACTGATACTGGTACTAGGTCAAAACTTCATTGGATTATGTCAGCAGTAAGAGTACCAACATAAAGTAAGTAAATCATCAATTGTGAGGCCAGAGAAAGAATGTTTGGTACACCGAGCGTCTTTGCAAATGCGCAACCGATGTCGTATGCAAAACCTCCATTTCTGCCATAAACAGTTAGCAGTTGATCAACAATCGCCAATGGATATTTTGCACTAATAATGATCAGCAAATACAAATTAGATAGAGAATTAAAATTACTTACAGTTCACCGCTCTTAACCATATCACACGTGAGAAGGATCAACCGGTGTCGACAAGCGGCAATAAATATCCCTGATTCGTCGAACACCGAAAACATCCTTTTGCGTTGTTCTGGACCAGCATTTTGCCACTGGTCAACACAAGTGAATGAGGGTGCTGTTTCTGTCTGCTCAACATCTTGCCAGTTGTCAGCACCCTCAGTCGGGTTCTAAGGTTGAGTTCAGTGTTGTATAGAGTAGCAACGAGAAGACTTATGGTGTATCCTTGCACTTCATCCTTGAATTTATCAACCGTCGGGCAGTCAAGCCAGTAGTCAGAGCAAAACCTGTGTGAATCAGTTCGGGTAGTGGTGCCGCCAGTGGCTGATGACGTCCATCGCTTCAGGCTATTGTTACCGTCCATAGTGACTAGCCACTCCAGAGCCAGACTTTCTTCGTCCTGCAGCTTGTAGAAGCAGCACAGGCAGGAGTTCAAAAGCCGCCAGTTGGGTGTGTTGCGGTTAAGGGCTTTGTTGATGAGGATGTTGACGTGATGTAAGATTTCGAGATATATGTCATAGGTGTCCGAAAACTGCGTATTGAGGTATGATCAATATGGAATCTAGAAGAGTTCAGAATGAGTAAATGATGATGTCATGTGTGAGAGCTTACATGATGGAGGTGGCATAAAGCTTTGCATTGCGCCTGAATGCTAAATCGGGGACATGTTTGGTGAGCCTGCCGAAATGCAGCGAGTGTGCAGATAGAGATAGCAACAGTGGGAAACAACGGAGAGCACCCTAGGTACCCATGGTAAATGAGTATTTCATTCGGATACCAGTGAGATGGACAAGGTTGCAATGATGCATGCTTTCGACCTGGACATTGTTAACAATGAAGCTGGTCAACGTGCCCTGAACCTCACTAAAAATGTCGACTAGTTGAATATTCTTGAGAGATAAGCAGTCGCCATCGAGAATGGGTTCAATTGAAGGCAGAAAGATTGGCATGCCGTTGCCACCATCTTGGCTGCGATAGTCGAGATACACGCTGACCAGCCATTCAATCTGAACACCCCAATGTTCATTTTGAACTTCTATATGGTCGGTACAAGTGTGTGGATCCACATAACGGCTATCACCGCCAGCATTACTTCAGTATGAATTAGTAGGAAAACAAAGATACATGCATACCATCCCGAAAGATCTGCCTTCATGGCTGAAGTCAACTCCTTCCTCACCAGGCGGCACAGTGTAAGGTATATAATCTATGCCAATGATAGTATCAGCCAACATACTCTCAACGAGATCCCGATCTTCGCTGGACATTTCTACAAAAGAAAAAAGTCAGCAGACTGTAAGAATTAAACATGGGCCTCGCACCCTGGACATGTGTTTGGCACTAAGCATTTTTTGCCTGCCTTCGCTGCTCTTGTTTTGCCGCTGTGAGTACCTCAGAAGTTCAAATAGAATGCCGGAATCCGTGTGTGATCGTCGCCTTTGATAGCCCTGCGATTTTCTTGTATGATCCATGCGACATTTGGCTGTGGCAGCTAGGATGTAAAGGATAGAGATATGCCACAGATGCTGAGGAGGGAAGGACGGTAGGATGGCAGTAGGGCCGCAACTTCTAAAGGCTAAGGGAGATGTCTAGACGTTCGAGGGCATCTAGATGGCTTAGATGGTGAGGTCGGGAGCCTGAGGGCGGGAGGGCAAGATGGAGGTGGGCAGGTGGGCCACAGCAGGAGGGTAGCGACTCTAGAGGCCAAGGATGGAGTCTAGAGGCCCAAGAGGGTGCCCAGAGGTTTGCGATGGTGTCAACAAGTTGGTAAGAGGGGCTCAGGAGGACCAGATGGCGCTGGCAATGATGATGAGCAAGACCAGGAGGTGTGAGAATCCCACCAGGGGGGAATATGTACCTTTGCCGAAAGCTCAGTGGGCGTGGGAGAGTGATTTCAGGCGGGATACAGTGCTGAACGGTTAAAGGGCGTTGCCGAGCCTCCCGCTGTAGAACACCTAATAGTATAGGAGGATTTAGGACATGATTTAATGCTGGTGTTGAGGATTATGATAACTAAGCCTAATAATACTGGGCCATACACATAATCGCTCAGCATAGTAAGGCTTACTTATTGGGAAGGTCAGGTGCGATTTGTTGGATGTGTGATGCTGTGACGAAGCTAAGTGCGTATCTCTACAGTATCCTATCTTCCCCGACTCCCACATTAGTGGGGGAGGGCTCTGTTAAACGCAAACGGATTCCCATCTTACAAAATGTATTATACATCAGGAAATCATCGAGTTCCTTTTTATCCCTTATATGCTTCTTATTTGTCCTTATTTACCTTAATTCACACTTAAAACCTCCTTAGAATAAATAATTCTAAGGAGATCCATCACCTTAAACCAAGGAGCTTTCCTCAAAACCTCCTTATTTTAAGGCGGTTTAAGGAGAATAAGGCAATCGGAAACTGTGAGGAGATCGAGTAAAATGATTACTTAATTGCACCACTTTATTTTCTGCCACTGACTCAGTTTGAACTCTCAACCATGCACTCACCAGTTGAGATCAGCTGATCAGTTCCCACAATTTCGAGCATCACTTACCACTAGACTAAATGACCTTGTATATGTGAAGGCAGCAGCCAATATATATACCATATCTGTGGGACTTAGAATAAAATACAACACTTTATCGTCTAATACAATAGGTCTACCATTAGGATTTTAATAAGGAGTGACATGGTGGACCTTATGAATTTTTTCGAAGAAAATCAAAGTTATAGCCCTTGTCAAGGGTAGTCCTTCCATAGTCTCATGACATTTTTTAGTTGAGATCCTAATGAGTTATAAGCAAAATACTACGAAGTGGTGTGTTCAAGAAAGTTCAGGCACGCAAGTAATATGACTAATGTTTCCTCAATTTTCCTTAGCCAACTTGCACCTACAGTGTGTTGCAAATGACTTTAGAATGCACGAGAATTTTTTTGCGAGCTCGGTGTTTGTAAAATAGTTCGTAATAGCCAAATGCGGGACTTTCTGTCACATCAACGACACAAAAATATTGTCTCCTCCACCTCAGGGTGTATCAATTGCACTCTGACACTCGTATCTTCAATCTGAACTTAAAGGCACTCCCTCTGTCAATACTGTCAATACTAAATAATTATAATATATGGCCTTGTCCGCAACGAGTTCGTGTAACTCTGGCCATACTCACATGATTTTGCAAGACATTGAGCTAGTTTTCTAAGAAAATTCCAACAGTCTTCCATTGTTCATATTCTGGTGCATTCTGAATTGAATTCAGGAGTGATCAGAGATGCTAAACACTAAATATTTTAATCCGTTCGCGCATCACAAAAGTTCGCGCATCGGCTCTAGTCTGAATCTACATACTTCAAGTTAGGGAAAATCACACTTTTCTGCGCGGTAACTCTCCGCTGGACTCAACACGTCAATTTTGAAAGAAAAAACCAGCGGGTCTTGTACTTTCAATATCAGACTATTTATCCGTCAAGAAATTATATTTTTATGTGGATGTGTTGTAGAGCTACAGATGTTTTAAAATGTGCAAACTCTAGTTGATCATCAGATAATCTAGCCTGGCTGGCAGTGGCGTGAAAACCGGAATGATTGACCAAGCGTGACACAAGTCACACGTCAAAACAAAGGAACAAACACAATTTTGAAAACGCGATTCTAAAGTCATTTGCAACACACTGTAATTAATTCTACTTTTGTCGAAATAAAACAAAAAAACCAACTTATTCTCCTTAGCCACCTACTTAATTCTACTTATTTTCCTTAGCCACCTTGGTAATTTTTTTAAGTAAATTAAGGAACTCGATGATTTCCTGATGTATCTCCGCGAGAAATATCTGTAGCACAACTTTGAATCTCCTTGGAAGCCGAATGTTTGTGCTCTTCCGAGTCACTCCTCTCTCTCAGTAATCGATAGCTGTCGTGGACTCGTTGCTATTATTAATGTTTCACCTTGCCGTTTCAAAAGAGCGGTTTAGCGAGCATGTACTTGCCCCGCACTCGTCATGAACTGGCAATTATGACATGAAGGCATGTCGTTTACATGTACACACTGTAATTTTCTGGAATGTATCTCGAGTGTTAATTGTGTTTTGTTCGCTCTCGTGAGTCTCATATATGTCTTTGCAGCCAAATTTTACCCTGGCGCCTGGCGCAAATATTGACGTGAATAACATGCTGCTGAAAGGGTGGGGAATTGGAGTCGGGGACTTGGTGCGCCAGCACCCCGGAACGTCTTGCGTATTATTACAAAATTTACACAAAATGCAGTGACCAAACCATCCAAAAACTATGCGATTACCGTCTTCCAAGCCCACTCAGACCCCACGCAACCCTCGACTGCACGAAATCAAATCTGCCCAACATTCTTAGCATCAAATCACGGATAAAAGCCCCACTGAACGGCATCCACCAAGCATATGCTTCGTATGTAAGACTTGCGAGTTTCAAAAGTGTCTTGCTGAAACCGATGATCTCCATCGCTCGCGCATGACGCGTGTCCGCAAATTCCTGCAAAATGGTATCATCTACATCGGGATTCTCTGCAGACGCTTGGATGTGCTTTGTGACAGCATCTGCAAGGAAGATCGCGTCCCTGATGGCCAGGTTCATGCCCTGGCCGCCAGCAGGTGAATGTATATGGGCTGCGTCGCCGACTAGGAGAATAGCAGCGCCAAAACGCGTGAAGGTGCGGTCGGCAATGGCTGAATGGGTTCTGAAACGTGTTGACCAGACCACCTGGTCGATCTTGACAGGTGTTGGGTTAAGGGATGGATCTGATGTTATGGACGATGGACCGTATGTGTTGATCAAGTCCTGGAGGTACTCCTTCGGCGGAGCACGGGGTGGCTCTCCGTTCTTCACTGGAATGGCGCAACCTACACGGAAAATAGATTTCGTAATGGGCTTTCCATCTCGCGTGAGCTCGGCATTGAAGTGGTTGCCGAACGGTGTAAGCAGGAAGAAACTGCCTGAGGAAACTGTGCCATTGAGGTGGCCCTCTGAGAATAATGGACCGACAGGCTCAGGCTCGAAAGTAACATCTGCAGCGACCATTTGAGCCAGTACGTTATCGACTAGGTCTGGGCCTTCTGGGTCAGAGAACCCTATGCCGGCGATGGTACGAATCTGAAGATGAGCGTCAGACATTCCACAAAATTAAGTTATCGAATACTGAGGTCTCACAATTGAGCGGGCGCCATCTGCGCCGATGATATATCTAGCTTTAACGACTTGACCGTCCTCAAACGAGACGTCGGTGATGCGAGGGTCCTTGTCGTTCTGTTTCATTCCAACTACCCTGTGCGGACGCTGCACCTGAACCCCAAGGCTCTGCAACTTCTGCCCGAGTACAAGCTCTGTCACATTCTGAGGGGCGAAGAGCGCGTATGGGTGGACGGAATGTTTCTTCAGAGGGTCGAATTTGGCCTCAAAGATCTGTGAACTACGGGATGTGATTCTGATGCTCTTGCCCTTGATGGCTCGAGACAGTAAGCCATCCACTGCATCGATGCTGGCTAAAGCCTACGATCATAACAACATCAGTGGGCCTTCCTGTGAACGCTCAGATGGCAGCTTACCTCGACGGTTGCAGAGTGTATAGTAATAGCCCGAGATGAATTTTGTCCTTCGACTATGGCATCCACGATAACGAAGTCATGACACCCGTGGTGGACAAGAGAAAGAGCAGCTGTGAGGCCTGCGGGGCCTGCGCCGACAATAAGTACGGTAGTGTTCTTAGGGAGGGACATTGTAGTAGGAATGATCAAGTGACAGAGACGGTGAGTTAGCTTCAGATTGCTCGTTCATCTGGTATTTAAGGCCACCGATAAGCAGGTTATAATGACTCGTTATGAAGGATGGTTTTCGCGCACCTGGTCGGCTGCCGAACAGTCATGCATTGTAAGATAGTATCCCGCACGGACTGCGTCGGACTGTGGCAGAATATGTAGACAATGAGCAATCTGAGTGACTGAAGTTGTCCGATCCTTCGGACTTCAAGTTGGCGACTTGGACAGGGCCTGGGCATATGTGCCAAGCCTTGGGTCCGTTTACCATGCAATAGTGCTGCCGGAGGTGCAATGTCATACAAGTTATCCCATACGGCATGCATATGGTCCTGGTAAAGTTAAGATTTTCGTCCGTTTCGCGCGATGAAGCTTGGACATTTATATCTCCTGACGAATACACCATTAGTAACGCGAACTCCAGTGATCCGACATGCTCAACTTTACTACATAGTCACATGAACGGATTTACGACACTAGAACTGTCCTGTGTCACTGTCTTCCTTCTTCTGAGTCAAGGTCTGACTCGCCAGGAGACAAGTTGTGCGGAGTTCCTGTTCGTCGAGTCCAAGTTGCCACGCCACATGCATTGCAGGACGGTACCGAAAGAACAACTACATGTGAGTCGTCATCAAGGTTTTTAATACCTATGTAGCACAACATGGCCCCATCAAGAACAGAACCGCCAGTGACTAGTCAAGCAACATGGCCTCAAATTCACTAGCAACCCAATTCCAAGCCCATCTAGACGACTTTCGGATATCCCTAGAGCCCAGCGCACTCAATTACCTTACATCCATGCTCGCTGTCATGTCCATGTCCGATAAAGCCAGGGACGTACGAGACGCCACGGAGATGTTTCTCGAGGAGGCTGATGTAGACCCGGAGAAGATCAATCAGTTTTATGCGACTCTTGGCAAGGGAAACGTGAAGACATCTTCAGGGTTTGCGTTCAGCTTTCACTCTCGCTTATGAGTCTGACGCTATCGATGAAGGACTTTGACGTCAGCGTCAGCGTCTAGTACACCCACGGAAAATGCTCCGAAACCTATGTCGTCTATCGAGGCCCGCCGCATGAAACGCGCGCAAAAGAAGGCCGCTACCACCGCCTCCCCAACGCCGCCCACAGAAGCAGAGCCCAAGATCACAGCAACTGCCCAGCAGAGTCGGTTCCACCGTGAGACCCTCGAGACATCGTCCAAAGACATCGACATGCAGACCGTCAATATCAGCGTCAACAACCTCGATCTTCTCGTCGATGCGCATCTACGACTCAAGGAAGGCGTGCGATACGGTCTCGTGGGGCAGAACGGCGTCGGAAAGACGAGTCAGCCCCTTCTCTTGTAGTACATAAACCTACTCATACGTTGATGATGCAGTGTTGATGAGATGCATGGCGGATAACATTCTTGCTATGCCAAGTAATCTCAATATCCTCCATATTGCGCAACTTGAGACTTTCGACGAGTCCACCACCGTATTGAATGAAGTACTCGAAGCAGACAAGGCATGCTTGAAGGCTTTGCGCGAATACGAAGGTAATTTATCTCCTCACTTTCTGCACAAACCTAACTCCATTCTCATAGCCTTACACGCAATACTCGGAGACGCACCTCAGTCCACCTCATCAAACACCGCCCAGTTAAATATTGCGCTCCACAACATTCTTATTTCTCGAATGGAGACCCGCGTGATTTTCGCACAACAACTCGCACAGAAACGCTCTGGCACACGCGGACATGACGCCCGTCAGGCACAGCTTGCGATAGAAACTGAGTTCACTGCTCTGAAAGCTCAGGACCCGCAGGTCTACGTTTCACCTGATATCGCGACTGAGCTTATCACGGACGTCTTTGATAAATTTGCGCTTATCAATTTTGATGCGCGGAAAGCAAAGGCAAGGAAGATCTTACGAGGTCTTGGATTTGAGGAGGCCCAAGTCGAGGCTAGGGTGCAGACTTTGAGCGGTGGATGGCGGATGCAGATTGCGCTTGCGAAAGCCCTATTTGTTGGCCCGGACATCCTCCTGCTCGACGAACCAAGTATGTCGTTTTCCATGATATGACGTCCACCTATTCATGTGCACAGCAAACCACCTTGACCTTCCGGCAATCCTCTGGCTGCAAGAATACCTCATCGACGAAACAGCGGGGCTCACACTTGTCATCGTGTCGCACGACCGAGCATTTTTGAACGCGGTGACAACGGAGACTATCATACTGCGGGACAAGATGTTGAAATACCATGCGGGATCGTTCGCAGACTACGAAAGCACAAGTGAGGAGCAGCGCGTACGGAAGCAAGCGTTGCTGGATGTGCAGGCGAAGAAGCGAGCGAAGCTCGTAGCAAGCATCCAGCACAATGTACAGCAGGCTCGAGCGACTGGGGATGACAAGCGTCTCGGGCAAGTAGCGAGCCGGAAGAAGAAGCTTGAGCGCCTTGGAATGGAGAAGACGGAGGATGGGAAGCGGTTCAAGGTGTCTTACTGGGCCGGATACCACACGACAGCACGCGCGGAGATCGAGATGGAGAAGGCCTTGAAGACGGCGTCGATCAAAATTCCAGATCCTCCTCCGTTGCGGTACCACGGATCCGTGTTCACCGTGAAGAATGCGTCGTTTCGCTATCCCAATTCAAATATAGATGTCCTGACAAACGTCAGCCTGGATGTAGGTCCCCATGCTCGCATAGCGCTGCTCGGCCCCAATGGGTGCGGGAAGACAACGCTCCTGAACATGATGGTGGGCGTAACGCATCCGACAACAGGGGAAGTTTACCGACACCCCTCGCTCCGCATCGGCTACTTCTCGCAGCACGTAGTCGACCAGCTCACGCTCACCCGTACACCCATCGAAGAGATGCGCTCTCGGCATCCAGGGCTTTCAGAACAAGAGTGTCGGGCACACTTTGGCACTGTCGGCGTGAGCGGGAATACCGTTCTCCGGAAGATCGCAAACCTCAGTGGAGGACAGCGGAACCGCATAGCATTTGCGATCATTCTGTATGATGCACCGCATGTACTTGTGATTGATGAAATCACGAATCATTTGGATATGGGCACTGTGGATAGGCTGGTGGAGGCGCTGGAGGGCTTCGAAGGAGCGCTGGTGCTGGTAAGCCATGACGTATGGTTCATGAAGCAACTGATGGAGGGAGAGGTCGATGATGACGATGATGAAAGTGATGTGAAGGAGGAGAGGACGTTTTACGTCGTTAGGAATGGTGCTGTGAAGCGCTGGGAGAAAGACATGGATGGGTATGTTGAGGCGGTCATGAAGAGGGTCAAAAAGAGCGATAGGTACTAGTAGATGCATACATTATGTTACAATTCCAACCTGAATCTCTGACTCGGAATCCGCCTTTGCACCATTACCCTTTCACCAGCCTTATCCTCCCCAATCCTGCCTTTGTTGCATTTATGTTGTCCTATAACGTTCTCCTTCTGTTCAGTACACGCACTGGTTCAAAAACAATATGAAAATAAGCAGGCATTAAAGCACAGCAACAATCAAACACACTATTCGCTCGAGTAGGTTTCTGCAGCATCTCTACATTTCAATCAGCCTCGACTTTCCAACAACGAAGCAAAGAAACACACCGATATTCAATACGTTCGTAAAATCCTTCTTCTCAATCGCCTCCCTCAGATCCTCCTGCAGCCTCGAGTTCTGGCATAACACCTGCATCGCCGCTTCCACGCGTGCGTATCTCTGATCCAGGAGATCCGGGCACGCCGTTATTATGGCTGCAAGCAGGACGGTGGTGGCATAGATTGCGAACATGGGCGAGAAGTGGACGGGGTGAGTGTTTTTGACGACATCGAGCTCGAGGAGGTGTGCGTTGATGGCTTTTAAGGCATCTTCGCTCAGCTCGAGCTTGATGCGGGGGAGAGTTGGGTGAGTAAGAGGTTCCTGAGCTGACATTTGGTGGTGAAGTTGTGGCCCCTATCTTTGTCGCGACTACCCCTGTAGATGTTGCGTCATAATTTTGCAGGCGTACTGGTAAGGACACGAAACTTGGGTGTTGAAGTTTGTGATAAATTAGAGTAAGTAATACATATCACGTATACAAGACGATTAGAGATCCAGCCAGCACTTGGGCAAGCGCGTAATTAAATAATCGAGCTACTCCGTATAGAGTTCATGGATATAGAAACGATCGGGGAGTAGGAAACAAGACGTGGTACCGCTATACTGATCTTCATACTAATCGTCCACTACCATTCCATTTTTGCCTGATGTCGCATTGTCGGGGCTCTGCCTCTCCCATATACGATCAGGCTTTCGTCGTTGCGGCTCTCCTTCGCATAAGTCTTTTGGCACACCGTGGCTGCGTGCCGTTTCGTATGTCTCTCCATCGAGTTGGAGCTCGCTCAATGACGTTCGAGCGCTCGCCTCGCCTAACCGGAGGCCCATTCCAAGGGCATCAGATGAATAAGCGCCTGGCGTTGTTGGTACAGAATAATTAGCCGCAGGCGTGGAGGGTATAGAAGAGAATGGTGTTGAGGGAGTAGATGAAAGACCTGGAATAGAATTCTGCCTTCGATGTTGTGTGAAGGAGGCAGGATCAAAGGACTCTGCATCATCATCATCATCATTGGACTGCTGGCGCTGTAAACCAACAACGCGCAAACGCTCAACCCAACTGAAAAATCCTTCAGTTTACATGGCGAATATGCGAAACAACTTGACGTACGCATCAGCACGGTCCAGACTGTCTTTGACGACACCAGTAACCCCACGCATCATGTCCAGACTTTCTGTGGCGAGCGCCAAAACACGCTGCGCAGCCTGGGTAGCAGCACTAGTTGTTGGCCGTAAGCCTACGCGTGTGGAGGCCAAAGGCGATGATGCACGAGAGGATACAGGTGTACATGCTTGGGAGCGATCGGGGCCACCAGCGCTGCGTTCCTTGTGGTGTCTAGTGGTCCGTGCACGTCTCCCAGATCCAGCGCTGCCAGCAGCAGCGCCAACGGCTGAACTAGCACCTGGGGCGCCATCTGCCATACCAGAAACTGGATTGACACTTGCACTTGCCCAGCGCTGAGGTAGATGCAAGATAAAGCCCCTGACACGTGACCTCGCAGGCTCCGGGAGAGCGCTGCCGGCATACTTGCTTACGATATCGACCACTTGACGGATGGTTTGCACGATATCACGACGAACGTCGGTTAATGTTCGCATATGTGTGGGTGAGATAAGGGTATCGGTGCCTGATGAAGGGTCCGATGGATGCAAGGATTCGATAAAATCTCTGAGAATGAGGATCTGTGCATCAATATGCAATGTGGCGTACTGATGGGAAATCACATGCGCATGAGAACTGAAGGAAAAACGAAAGACAAACCTGGAGCCATTGAAGACAGTATTTGAGACGCCGCATACTTTCTTCGCTTACGGCAGCACTGATCCCTCCTGCTTCTAGGAGGACAGCTTGCCAGCGGCTCCTTTGGACAACTGCTTGTTGACCTTGAAAGTCAGGAGGTTCGGCAATTTGATTTTGTAGGACCGGAGTCTTGTTATCGTTTGAAGCCGGAGGATGAGGGGAAGGACTACTGGCTATAGCGACAAATGAGATGACGCGATAAAGAAATGCCATAGTGCAATTACATGATTGTGGGTCTGTGCCTTCGTGTGCTTGTCGCGAACTGAAATAATCCAGACTAGTCTGCCCTTCCCCGATGATTCCTTCTCGGGATGCCTCGTCGATTTGCATTCGGTCAAGGTCAGCACTTGATGGACGACGATATTTGCCAAGCTGGGAAAACAAATTCAAGATAAGCTGATCCCAAGCATAGAAAAGACTGTACGGACCTTGTCGAGTTGCCTGCAGGCAAACTCATCTAGCTGATTGACATCAACCGGTAGTCTGTCAATGACAGGGCGGGATATGGTCTTCACTGATGACTCCATCATCTCAGCACCATACTAAACATATCAGGGTCAATAATAGACGCGTATAGGTTTCAAGAAGCTGACCTTGACGACGCGCGAACTGGCTTTACCATGCTCATACGCCCGCAGAGCAGTGTTGAAAAGCGGAAAATTTGACACTCTGGCCACAAAGTCCGGAGAGGTCATATCTGCCGGCAGAGAGGGAGATGGGGAATAATGGCATAGCGCGCTTGATGCTGATGCAGGAGTGTGGCCTCATGTGTGCCGTCTAGATCATCGTCGTTGAATACGTGAAGTATACTCACCATTGCTTCCAGAAGCTCTGGCACCATTCCTCATATCGCCTAGCGCGCTCACGGCTATGCGTACACTCTCATCCTCGTCTTGAAATGACATATGTCTTGTTACAGTTGAAGAAGGCGGTGAAGACTTCTCGCACATCGTCGAGGGCGATGTTGACGATGGAATATTGTTCAGGAAAAGCGAAGAGACCAGGGAAGAGACCCTTTGCACGTGCAGCCCAACATTATCGCATTGGGGGAGTACGCTTTCACGTGTTAATCATATGACCAAATACTACCGCGGCTTGTCAATGCCACACTCTGCCCCATGGCCAAGATCATCTTCTGAAAAACACATGCCACACTTATGAGACGGGCACTGCAGTTGAACGTTTGAACTCATATCGTGGCCATGCAGGTACTTGCAGATCAGAAAGTTCGTTCAGAGGGGGTTTATCCCTGTTGAATCAAACACGTGCGACTAAAATTTTCACATGTTACTATAGGGATTTTGCATTCGATGTCCTCAGTACTATAAGTACTGAAAATTCAAAGGATGCTAATGATTCGGTGAGTCTCTTGGTTGTTTCTCATTTGTTTCCGTGGAAAGTGACAATGATCTTAAAGTTCCGAGAATTCCAATTGCAAGAGTCTCGACAAGAGTACTACAAATTCGATATGTACCCCAAAGTCCTCCGAATGTCTCACCTAAGATCAACCTGAGATCACTCAATTGATTTGGATCTCAGCGGCCTTGTGAGTGACTGAATGACTCCAGGCTATGTCAGCCACCGCCATTCAATTGTACCAAACTGGTAGCCTCGACGAACATGGACTCCCACTCAATTGATTTCCAGACTGAGTACTTATACTCGTTTCCAGTTATTTGGCTGGATCCCAATACCCTTGACTGCACTTTATATCTCGTGCAGCACGACTCCCATCATGACTGATTTTGCTGGCATGTTTCATGAAGATATATCTAATCCTGACGGCGGCCCCGACCTATGGATGGCTGACACTTCATTTGCTCCTTATGCCCCTGACCGTTATTCCACCATTTATGACGCCAATGGACTTGGATACCACTCGGATTTCAATACTATAACCCCAAGCGTCGGCAGCAGCTCTACAAGCTCCCCAACATCTGGCCACTTCGAACTCCACCCATCGTCCCATGGACAGGATCACGCATACCAGCTTGGTACCTCTCCACCCGAGTGGTTTAGTAGTGGTGAAGAGGGCCCGTATGATGCTCTGGGCTTCATCCGTGCCGAACACCTTTCACCGCAGATCCTCGTGGAGCAACCACCTCGCACCGTGCGCATGTCAGATATCGTCGTCTCCAACGGGTTATCTCCATTATCCATGCTGCCCCAGCCCGGCTCGGGCCATTTGCATTCTATGCCCTCTCCTCCCGCCGTTGCTCCCCGTTGGCAACGCCAGAGGAACCATCCAACTGAAGTGGACTCTGAAGCTGACAGCGAGGGAGACTCATATTTCCCCTCTGACGCATCTGACTCTGCTGTCTGCCGGTCAGCCGGTCCAGCTTCACCCCTATTACACGCTCTGCCGGCGCCGCCGTCTCGTCGTCGTAGACGTCAAGACATCACCCTTCCAGTCCCCGTTCCCAACCTGACAAAGAAGTCCCGCGGACGCAAAGTCCCAATCTCCTCAGGGGAACCAGTCTATGCGCGCAGCAAAGACAAGTCGAAGAAGGGCACCAGGACGTATACCTGCCACGTCGATGGCTGCAGCAAGTGTTTTGTCAGGAGCGAGCACCTTAAAAGGCACATCCGGTCCATTCACACGAACGATAAACGTGAGGGAGACTTTTCTTCATTTCATGCTGGAGTCACTGACTTTTCTTGATTGGCATAGCGTGGGTGTGCCCGATTGGGGGTTGCGAAAGGGAGTTCAGCCGCCGAGACAATCTGAACCAGCACATGCGTATTCATAAGAGTCCTTAAGATGGTCACTCCCTCATTATGTCTGGATGTACAAAGCGTAGAGCGGCATTTCTTGATTAACGTTGGTTTCATCCCGTTCTTTGTATACGTATCTATGGCTCCATATGCTGCTCTTTACGAATCATGATGGTCACGATCCACACTGTAACCCTAGTTTTTATTCTTATCTATATCACGACGTAGAAGGGGCATATCAATAAAATTCGTCAAGGAGAGTCCGTCACCTGTATGCAGTATCCCACCTTTAACTAGACATACATGGCGTGATGCTGGGCATTGAGTAACTATGAGCCGAGGGTGGGGTACCGTCCCATGTTTAAAAAAGTACATCAGGAATCGCTCATTGTTCGTAGGAGGACTGAAGCAGTCTGTGCTGCCGGGCTTGCATAGCGTGTCGACACAGATGATTCGATGATGTAGCATAGTGGGTAAACAGCGGAGAAGGCGGTCTGGAAAAACTGTCGCGGGATACGAGAAACGAGAACCCATGAATCGAGTATAATCTCCAGGCCAAAGGCGTATAACCGCTATGAATGACACGATTAAGCTATGAATGTGATACTGGTCCCAAGAATATTTGGAAGTAAAATAATAGCATTATCTGAATCAAAGACCCGAAGGTTCCACCACCACAGCGAACTCCTTCATACCGCTATTCAACGGAGCACTCTCGGTACTATGACTCGTGGAATTTGCGAAGCTCTGCAGCCACAAATTTAGCGGCATCCGCACTTGATGGGCGGGAGTGAGGATCGGGCCCCCAGCATCTTTTGAGAAATAGTACATGGTGTTCGTGGAGCCTGGGAACGTTGGGGTCATCCCGTATCGGTAGCATTTTATGTGCCATTGCCAGGATTACCTGGGTGCTCGACCTGGCCCACCAATAGGGCAGCTGCCCCACCAGTATCTCGATGTATTGTTAAAACTACGCATACTTTACAGTAGACCATGAACTCACTTGAAGCATAATACAACCAAATGAATAAATATCGCTTGACATCGTGGGCCGAACGAAGGAATCCGAATCCTCCAGAACCAACTCAGGAGCAGTCCATCTTGCCGCGTTGGGACCATGATGGGTATCCGTTGTAGATGCCGTCATATTCATAGCCGAAAATTCATTTATGAACGCAAGGCCATAATCAGCCAAACAAGCCCTCCCGCTCTCATCAATAAACACGCTGGACTGGTGAGACGTCAGTCTGAAACATCCCTCAATGATACAACCACAGCTCTTACCCCAGTTAGATCACCGTGTATAATATTGTTTGAGTGAACTATTTAAATCAACGATTAATTGCTACTCAAAGAAAAGGGAGCACGGACGGTAACAAAGTCCACTTGCTACATCATTGATCTGCGCAACATCATCATCAGGTTGGCTAGGACAGCCGTCATGAAAACACGAACCAGGCAAAACCTATCCCGCGGTTTAAGATATGAGTATTGTTGGGCTAAATATTCGGTTAGAGTTCCATTGCGCATCCACGCGGTAACCATGGCCGGATGGACACAGAAAGTGGAGGTCATGCCATAGAAGCGAACGATGTTGGTATGTTTAAGCTTGAGCCAGACATAATACTCCTTGAGTAGCATTTGTCGGATACGTGGCTGTGATACGTTGGGTAGTCTCATCGATTTGACAGCAACCTGCATATCGGACAAGTTAAAGCAAACAGCAACAATAGACCATGTAACATACCTGCACTTTTTCCGATTCCACGCGGAGCTGGCATTGCCAGATTTCACCGTATTTTCCGCTCGATACTGGAAACTCATGAAGCCGTTCAATCTGGTTGACTAGATCGCCCACAAAATCTTGGATGTTTTTCAAAACAAGACCCATGCTCATGTCAGAATCAGCCTGCGTGCTCATATTAGCGCTAGCTGACGTGCTCATGTCAGGACCAGACTGCGAGCTCATGTCAGGACCAGCCTGTGAGTTCGTGTCGGCACTAGCTTGCGTGGTCGTGTCAACACCAGCCTGCGAGCTCTGTCCACTGGTGCCAATATCCCGACTGACGACGGAATATTCATTCCTGAACGACTGTTAGCCTTTGGTTTACAGCAGACACGAAATCACAAACACATTCTGAACATCGGAATTTTGGTTGCTGGCGCCTCCATAAGGGGGAGCACTATTACTTCCAGACTCCGCTGGGCGACGGAATTGAACTAGTGACTCTTGCAGAAATCCTGCGAATCACAGATCCTGCAATACTGCGCAAGTTGGAATCAGATCTGTGCCAGACTAAAATGTAGAACCATTGTATTGTCAGTGACGAGAAGCTGCCTGAAGCGATCTATCTTGCCATTTTGAGCGTTCTTCAGACAGTCGACAATTTCGGAGGCAGATGGACGAGAAGGTGGATGAGACAAGTCGCGGGAACTTGATGACCAGCATATCCGAATGAAAGCCCAATGGATTCGAGAGACACTTGATGGTCGTTTCGGAACGTGTCCTTTGGTGAGCTTTTGGATGATGATATGCTCGGCCGCTACTTCTGACCATGGAACATCGCCAGAGAGAACCTTCACTCAATCATTAACTTTATCCGTTCATCCTGTGGATCGAAGCTCACCTGCAGCATAATACTGCCAAATGAGTATATGTCGCTTTTGAACGTAGAATGCTGGCCAGCGCCAACTATGAGCTCCGGGGCAGCCCAGCGTATCGCTCCATGACGTCCAGCTTGTCCGAAATATGAGGCATCTTTCAAGCCTCCAGACACGGTGGACAGACCAAAGTCAGTGAGGCACGCTTTGCCTTGGCCGTTAATTAACACGTTGTTCTGTACTGCATGGTAAGTACACAGCGCGTGATAAAAGCTCAACTTACGCCTGAAATGTCGCCGTGCACCACCTGGGATGTGTGTACTATCATAAAGAGAAGCGGCAAATGAGGTTGTTAAATGGCACGCGAGCAAGCATATCCATACAGTAAAGCACGCCAGCTGCAATGTCTTGGAGCTTGAGATAAATGATGAGTATTCATGCGGGTCATCAGCTGCTTGAATACTTACAAGCTCCAAACGTCGTCCACGGTTAAGTGTATTGTGTTGAGCAAGAAACGAAGTAAGTGTCCCCTGTGCGAACCAAGTGGACACCATGGAAATCGAATTGTCCGGACCAAATCCCGATGTCACTCCAAGGAGCGGAACTATGTTTTCATGGTGTAATCGCATCCATATGATCAATTCTTGACGGACCTGTGGTCGATTTAAAAAAAATGAAGCTGTCATCAAACAGAGACTAACGTTTTCCCTTCTTCTATCAGATTGCGTTCGTATAGTTTTTACTGCGACCTGCCTTAAAGATCAGGATCGAGTTTTACATGCACTCATTGACAAGTCTCGCACCTCAATTTCCGTCGACTCGGTGCGCAAAACGCATCGCCACACGGTGCCAAATGCTCCTCCTTCTTGCGGAAATGGATCCTTTCGAGAAATCTGGTTGGTGAGATTGGGCAGTTGGTTGAAACTTCAGAAAACAAAGAAGCTTAACAAGTTGCATACGCTTCGAGTCGGCTACTCACCTCATTATCGTGAATAGACGTAAAAAGAACTTGAGGTACGGTCAACGGTCTTGATTTATAGCTATGAGATCAGCTCATATTTAATGGAGACTCTGGAGAGTATCAATTGAAGGCGAACCTATTGGCCAAGGAAGGTCAAAATCAAACCAATTCACTATAGCAAAGACACACCGCACGGTGGCAGGTGAGGAGTGAATCTACTATCTACAATGTGTGTAGTAGTACGGAGGGGGAGGGAACAACTATCGTTTAGATACAGACGTAACAAAACGCATGTACAAGTGTAGCATGGTTATATAGGTCATGGCACGGTGAATGATCATCGATCAACTGTCATCATGATAGCCCGAACGGACGGGTCATTTGGGTCAATTTTTCCAACAGTAGGCTACGGTACGGTGCGTCGGGCATTTCTTTCCATATATGATAAAAACGAATTACTTGAGGCTACCGGTGCGTCGATAGATTCTTTCCATATATGATAAAAACGAATTACATGTACAGTGGGCAACCCGGTGAACTGGTCATTTATTTCCATATATAGGCATTTTCGTGGGTCCTCCCTTCATTCTAGCATACTATATATGGAGGGAACCTGTTTTACGCCGGGAACGACAACGTTTCAATCCACACAATGATTACCACTAATTTTAACAAGACATGCCGAATCATTCCGAAATCAACCAACATAGGATCACGGCCAGGCACGACCAATGATGGTGTTATGTAACAGTATGCAACTCGTTCGGGCTGCCGCCCGGGTCTGCCAGTATCCTCCCGCTAAGTCGGTCTGTCAACGGGAGACTAGCATCTACATCGATCCAAAAGTTGGGACGGGCGCTGACCATCTTCCTGTACATGGTGTGAGTTGCCTGGAAATGATGCAGCGCTCCGATTGAGGCTGACAAACACTAGGCTATGGGACTTCGCGATCTCGAAGACGCCTTCAACCGTTATGTTTTCGATGAAGTGCCCGTACGCATGATATACTTGCCACAGATGAAGCTGCTCGAGCGAGACGCGTTGAAGCGTCTTTATCAACCGCATATCGACCAAATTACAGAAAAAGACCTGCAGGATAACCCTCTCGGGAGAAGTGCAGCGATCGAAGAGAGGGTCAGAAGACAATTGAAATATGGAATCCTTTCGCACCGCTGGCTTTCACTAGAACCAAGCCTTCAAGACATGATGAGCGGCAAAACACTGGAAGGGCCAGGCTGGGAAAAGTTGAGAAAGTTCTGTGAGGTCGCCAACAAAGTTTATGGAGTGGAGCTCGTCTGGTCAGACACGTGCTGCATCGACAAGACCAGCAGCTCGGAGCTAGACGAGTCTCTCCGATGTATGTTTAGGTGGTATCGCAATGCAGACATCTGCATCGCCTACCTTGCCGAAACGACCTCCATAGATGGATTTCATAACGACGAGTGGTTCACTCGAGGATGGACCTTACAAGAACTACTCGCTCCCAGGATAATAAGATTCTTCCGCAGTGATTGGGTACCGCTAACAGACTGCAGAAATGACAAAGCCGATGGTGTTGCCAACCGGCCAATCTTTGACGTCATCACGGCTGTCACCGGTATCTCATCACAAGATCTGCGGGCCTTCGTTCCTGGCCCTTTCCAGGTTGACACAAGAATGATATGGGCAGCAGGCAGGAGAACGACTAGGAGCGAAGACGTAGCTTATTCCCTCATGGGGATTTTCGATGTCTGCATTCCCATCACGTACGGGGAAGGCGCCCAACGAGCATTTTTCAGGCTTATTGAAGCCATCATGCAGGTATCCAACGATCCAGGGGTCCTATACTGGGCTGGAAAACCCGCCCAGATACATGGACTGTCCACTGCATTTCCCTCCGCTCCAGCATGCTATGTTGGACGTCCAGACAACATTAGAAGTCTCGCAGATGAAAAACGCGAGTTCTCTTTGACAAACCGGGGTTTGCGTATCCAACTCCTCGTCATACCAGTCGACCTTGTCACTCCAGCAATCCCCTCAGCGACCTCTATCCAAAATCGTGCAACGTTTCGTTGCAAGGCATTAAAAGTTGATAACTTGACAATTGAAGGCCTTTCTTTTCCTGTCCTCGAGAGGACTGGAACAAATCGGTATGCCTACTCTTTGGGTGTCATCAACTACGCGATGATCCAAGGAGAAAGCAAGGATCCTATCCTTCCAAAATCGTGCATTGCTTACCTGCTAACGCGAGTGGAGGGGACGCGGTCATTTGCAAGAATGGTACTATCTGTTTGTCACGATTGGGAAAAGGTTGAAACCAGGACGTTTATTACATTTAATCTTCCACAAGACTATACTGTTGGGAAACGAAAGTTGTTGACGACAGTATGGATATGATAGGCAAGATCCACATACCAACTTTTACATATTTTCAGCGACAAGGACGTACTGGATAATTGAATGACTCACTGACTGGATCTAGCATTATAGATAGGCAGCGCCTTCTCAGCTGGCGGCCGATCCGACCATACGTCAGCATCAACGATATACAAGCCCCTAATTGAGGGAATTGTTCCATACACGCCCTTCTTCGAAATGCACGCGACTATAATATCTCCAGGGTCCTGACGTCCATCATGTCGTGCACACAAGTCACGTGTTTCACCTGCGCCATGATATTGTGATCCGACGAGATTCTCTTGTACTCCCCACCACGCTGCTGCGCTAGCAAAAGTGCGCTAAAAGGCTGTCCAAGGCTAACAATCAACCCTAACTCTCGTGACCGAGAGTCCAAATCAACGTGTGCATGTTCTGCAGAAGAGTCGCCGAGCGAATCATCCAATAGGGACTCGAGCTCGGACCCGTTCACGTTTTCTGCATCATCCGCAAAGTCAGGCAGCCCGAGGTGGTGTCGACTCCAAAGACGAACGAGCAGGAATGACTGCCGAGTGGGCTTTGTCCGCGAGAACTGAATCAGTTTGTCTTCGGTTGTGATGAGCAGGTCTTGAAGGCCGTCTGCCTTGACATCATAAGTGAAAACTGATTGTCGGGTTTGACCGCGCCTCTGTCTGACTTCTGTGACAATAAATACGATGTAGTCTTGAGTTCCCGAAACGAGGAGCACTGAGGCTGTCAAGGAGGATATCTTCTGTGTTCAAGGGGATTGAGAAAGAGGGCATGATAAATTAATAATGGACTGTATGAAGGCGGCCTCCATTGGTATTCGGTTCTATGTTTTATTTCAGTTACAAACATTATACACCAGGTTGATTGAGATATACAGGGCTGAGTTGTCCTTGTAAAAAAACGTAAGTAAAGAATGAATATTCAATCAATACGCATCCAAAAATATATTCGAGAAATACTTCTTCACGCCCTCTGCACCATGGACAATCGCTCCAACCACTCCATCCGGCCGTATCACAAACACTTTTGTCTGGCCAGCTTCCATGAGGTAAGCCGAATAAGCATGACCCTCCTGATCGACAAGAACGAGGTCGGCGGGAGATGCGGCGGGCGTCACTGGAGCCGATGAAGGCAGAACGACTGCCATTCGCACGACATTTTTGTCCCATCCCTCCAGTTCTCCCAAGATCGGGCTACCATCAGCGAGACTCGGCGCGAACACAAGTATTGTGTGGTACCAGGGCCTGTACAGACCGAAAAGCGTCTTCACGTCAGATTCTCCGCGCCCCACAAGGAGCATATTGGGAGCATCAGGCGCCCTATCTCCGGCCTCCAGATGTCCCTCGTCAAGCACCCCGTAGGCGTTGATAGGCTTCCCCTCGACTGGAGGCACAAATTCATCCAAAACGATATTGCTGAATCGGCAGTTGATGCCGAGCATGAAAAGGATGGGGCTTCGTCCGATCGACACGTCTCCCGACGTGATTACCTTGTTGAAAATTAAGGTGGTCACATCGAGCATCTCAAAGATGACAGGCAAACGCTCGGTGCTGTATGTCTCGAGAAGAGACTTGTGGGCAAGTCCTTTTTCGACGAGCGCAAGTTTCCATCCTAGATTGAACTGGTGAGGGCGCCGTCAGCTGTGTCGTACATATTGGATCTACGTACTCACAGCATCTTGTACACCTGAATTGAGGCCCTGTTCACAGAGAAATGAGTAATTGTTAGCACCGATAGGACTAGCCATACCTGGCCACCCGATGGACTGTGGACACTTATAAAAAAAGTGTCAGCAGCAGTTTGAGAAGAAGGCGTTCAAAAATAGACATACTGAGCAGCATCTATGACAATTTCCATCAGCACAGCTACACACGTCTAAAATAGGACACATACCGCCCGCAACAAATACTCGACCCTCGCTAAACTTATTTACCATTCGGGTATTGGCCCTAACGCAAACCTATGAACGCGCGTCGACATGCACAGAAATACAGAACGCACCGGAAGTAGGTCATCCAAACCAGTTTGTAGAACGTAATCTCTGTTGGTAACAACGACACGATGGCCTCGAAGACAAGCTCCTCGTTCTCAGCGATTTTCGTTAGGTCTAGTTCGCGGCCGAAGATGAAAAACTGCCAGCCGTCCTCGCCAATTTCGTCTGTTGGTCGCAATGAGAGGCTGCGCATCGTCAATATACATCTCTAAGCCTCAAAAGCAGACACTGGACATACCCTCGTCCATTGAAGTTTCCAAAGTTGTGCCAATGCTTCGAGACAGGATCAAGACAACTTTCCAATCGAAAATGTAGAAAAAGAACACACCATTCTATCGAGACCAGCGCCCTTTAAGCGGATATCTCCTGTCACAATGCAGTTATCGTCTCTAGTCTCCCCCAAAAACGTGAGCCCAAGTTGCTTGCGCACGACACCTGCGAAACACCTTATGAATCTCGTTCTTCCGGTGCATTTAACTGCGTCTCACCTTTAGCACCATCAGCGCCGATGATCCATTTGGTATCAAAAGTCTCTGATATGCCGTTCTTTGCTACAACCGCGGTAACGCCCTCATCAGACTGCGTGAACGAGCATAGTTCGGTGCCCATCTCGACAGAGCAAGAGAACTTCTCTAGGTGACCTCTCAAAACCACATCTAGGAGCTGTTGACCTATCATTTTGTAGCAATGCTAAAAAAACAAACCAATCAGCATGAATGTTTGACGAGACCACGGTGCTGCGCACGAATGGCATCGCTGGGGTAGGTTCCACATGAGGGGCTATCGAAGAGTCTTTCAGAATTTCAAACGTCCCAGGCTTGTATGAACGGATGGGAGGGGCTGGTTTCCCCATATCATTAACTTCTGGAACGTTCAGGAAGTTGAAGAGTTCGAGGGAGCGTGGCTAGATCATGCGTTCAATAAGACCACGGGGTGACTCGGATATGACAAGTAGATGTATGATAACTCACCCATATTCCAGGACCGCGCTGTCCGATGCGAGGGTTAGGGTCTTTGTCGATGATACGAACTAGGATACCGTTTTGGCGGAGTGTCAATGCTGCTACCAGACCCACTGGCCCAGCGCCTACCTATGCAGAAATTCAGCTGAGGTCCAAGCATGCATCACAGGCAGGTCACTTACGACTAGCACGGGAGGATGAACAGGATTCATATGTAGCGCTCACACTGGCAGGAGGATTAGTTGGTTAGAATTCCAGAGGATTTGAATCAGCATAGAGGGAAATCGGGTCGTTATAACATAGGGGCGAAGCCGATCAGACGGGCATGTAATGATGGCATCTGTAGTACTAGTGCCGTTCGACTGCGTATTGCGTTGATCGGCAACTTATAAAGGTGACCGGCGACATTCCATCATCTGATGATGATTCGTCAAAGCTCTCACCAGAATCATCATGATGCTTCGTGGACGGCCCGCCTAGATGTACTGCCATCGGTTTCCGTGCCGCTAGACGTTTGTCTATCTGACAAGCAAACTTGGAGCGTGGTATGGTTTTGGTTCTGAGCAACCGAATAACCTTGCACGTGCCTTGACGTGCCTTCTTGAAGTTGCAATGAGTAGGTCAAGAACAAACTCCCATCTGCGGCTCGTAATGTCTTCCATACCTCACCGTCTTGTATGGATGAGCGCTTGCCAGGGGTAGCTTGGCATGAACACCAAGCATCGAGATGTGCCTCGACGCCATCCTGGGACAGAAGTCGAAAAGCGGGTTTTGAGGACGGCAGGGTTTATCTATAGCTATCTTGCCACGTGGCTTCCTTTCACCCAGAACGCAGTGAGAGGTTTCATTTGTTAAAAAAACCAGATAAGGTATACATCGAGTCTGTTGTGTTCCCTTTTCCCTTGTTACGCCCGACATATTCGGCAGACCCTTTGAAATCAAGTGACAAGAAGCCTGCAGTGCAAGCATGCTTTACCTACAGTTCATTCCTCACGGTAGAGGTGTATTATATACCCCCTCATTATGCGTAGTATCACTTGACATACATATATACCGGTCATTGCACTCCAGCAGCAATACACGTCCAGATGACTCACAAATGCAAGGAGAAGGGCCATCATGATCAAAATGTGTATGGCTGGATGCGCCTAATGCACTTCGGTTGAGGCTTCCTCCATTCCTCCGTCGGCGTCGTTGGACCTTCGGGTGGGGGTCCAACTCGATCAGCAAGATGATCTGGTTCTGGTGCATCCGTGGTGTTCCATGGTTCCCGCGGAGGTGGACGTGGATGCCTTGGCCTGGGCGCATTGACAGGCCAAGTAGGGAGATAGCACATTTCCTGGAAGTAGATCATGCTCAGCCCGGTTAGCTCGGAAAGAAGTCCTTTATATCCCACCTCTGGGCCGCAGGTAGGTCGGCATTTGACCCACACACTCCAGTCTAACCAAGACATCAGCTTCTGGATGTCGTGTCTCCAATATTTCATTATTTGAGCTGTATCAGGCTCCGCATTAACGGGGAAAAGAGTGTCGAGCCCGCTCATGACACCATCAGCCCACATTTTCGTAGTGACACGGCAGATCTCTCTCGTTGTCTCCTCGACGGCTTTCAGCAGTAGGCGTTCCGAAGGTGTCATTGAAGAAGCATGATCTATCATCTTCGAAGTGTGTGTTGTGGCGCATAGCCTGAAGATTGGGGACGCCCACTGTGATGCATCTACGCCTGGAGTGCCTGCGCTGGGGACGATGGTGGAATCTAATAGATACGGCGTAAGCATGACACGGAGCTGTGTTTGCGCGAGCTTCACTCGCTGAAAGAGTTCTTGCGAGTCTGATGACGTGAAATTGAGGAGGTGCTGCATCAACTCGAGTCGATCCTCATATCGATCGACGATGACGTGGATAAGGGTCTTCCAGTCAATGCCGCTGCCCACAGGCTCTGGTCGACTGACAACTTCGGTGAGCTTTCTCATGACCTGCGATATGTCGTCTGATGATATTCCGAACACGCGGTGGTCCCACCGTTCAATGCCCGCACGAACCGAGATGAGAGAAGGCACCAGTGCAGTATCATACAGTGAGATAAGACCAGTGAGGTCGAGCACAATGCGAGAATCTCCTGGGTAGCGATTGTGCCATGAACCGGAGTGCATGACTTCAAATTGGCGAGTCCCTACACTCAGGACATAAGTCGTCAGTCGTATTGGAACATGTGAAGAAATAACTGACCGGCATCAGAATCAAACGCAGGCAGGGAAAGAAGGCGAGGAAGGTATGGGTTTCCGTCCTTTGGTAAGACTCGGACATGCAGGAAAGATACTACTTCAACGCCAGCCGTAAAATCACACAACATGACTTCACTAGATGTTCGTCAGTCGGAAGCACAACTCAGAATCGAAAGGCTACGTACAAGTCCATTTCCATCC